TGTTATATAATCTTCCATGTCAGTATCTACTAAAAAAAACTTTTAAAAATAATTGGGTTCTTAGTTGGAATGCAGAATTATTCAGTAAGAATGACAATGTCTGCCATGGCTAATTTTTTTTTGTTCAGGCTTTGTTTTCATGATTTAAAAAATGAGTACAGTATAAGGTGATTTGTTTATTTTTGTGCTTCCAAATTTTTTTTTGAACGTCCAACTAATTTATTGTGTTTTGTAGATTGATACTTATTTTTGCGTGATCATAGCAACCATGAAGGAAAATTTCTTCCTTGTTTGGTTGGAGATGATTTTTGAATAATGGAAGTTTCAAATTTTTTTCTGAATGAATTCAATAACTCATAGAATCCCAAGAAAATAATTTTCGAGTTGAAATGTTACAGAAGTTTTGTAGCATCCCTGGCAGTGCTGCGCAGTTAAAAGGTGAGCGGTTTATTTATTTTTAATCTAGCCCTATGCCATGCACTCTTCATTGCAGACATTGTTGGTACAGTCTTTCCTTTCACCTTGTATTGCCTTCTTTCAACTTACAGTATTATGCTGATCCACATTTTTGGGGTTGGAAATGAGTCCCTGGTCTTTCAGTTCTGACTAGATATTTTTTGGTTTTGCTGCGATTTGCGGCCAACAGAGTGTCCAAAAAGTGAATGCACAAATGAAAATTAAGAGTATTAATTCCAATTTGATGGTTTGGGTTGGGTATTTAAGCTTGGTGGGCATTTCTTACTTTTGAACAACTGTTAGCAAACAAAAATTGATCCTGGAATCAAGTGATATATTGAAGAAAAATAAAGCCACTAGGACTAGAAAAAGGCTCCATTATATCAAAAATTCTTAAAAGTAAACCAAAATGAGAAATAATTTGTTGTAACAATATTTGTTGATGCAAGATTCTACTTTACAGTACTGTGTATGGAAAACTTCATGGATAATTTCTTTAAAACTCCCCCTCCCTCCTCTAAGCCCTGAAATTGAATAAGGGAAAGCTGTCTGAGACAGCAAATTAATTCCAGATCTCTGAAATTTTTTCATCAATCATGAAATGTATAATCTAAATACAGTACTAAGTTTCAATTTTCCAATCCATTTATTGTAGGGTATCAGTTATCTCAAAAATGACGTTCAGCACATGCAGAAGCTTAAATCTAGGTGGGGAGAAAATTATAAGGACTGCTGCAAAAGTTTCTCTTTTATCAAGGAAAAATCACTTTTCATACTCTTTTTCAATTCAAAATTAGGTTCAGTATCTGAATTGAAACTTAGTTTCTGGTCTGATTCCATTGTGCCAGTAGTATATCATGCAGAGTTTTTTTTTTTTTTTATACCACTGTAATGTACAAATTCTGTGAAATCGCTGAGGTGAAATGAGTGATCAGACCGTGCGGTTGGCCTCATAAGGGAGCAACACTGATTCGTATCCTATCTAGGACATGTCGCCCGCTTCTACCTCTGAACAATAGGCTATTCATGAACTGATCGGGTTCAATCCGGGGAAGCGGGTCATTTTGATTTGATTTTCAAATGAAGGATCATTTGATCTCAATTCTTATAATTTAACTTCTGGGCCCTATAGAGCCTGTCCTAACTGGTATACACATTATTTTACAAGGGGGAAAATGATGGACTCGCGGAAGTCCAAAAGGATTCCCGTTGGCATCGACAGGTTCGAAGGACAGGGGGAACAGCTGATGCACCCGGCACAAGCGTAGTATTGTCCGTCCAACGCTGTGAAGTTCAGTGTCCCCCATGAACAAACTCACAAGCCCCTCAGCGAGTAGATGTCGCTTGAATCGCGATGCATGTGTCCCAAACGGGAACACTCAAACATCTGCTAGCTCATGATGTGCTCGCACGCCGCGCTGGTCTTTCCTTGGATGGACATTCCCCCAAACAAATCCTTTGTTGTAAAATTACGATGTACTTTATTTTCCTATGCTTATTTACTGTTAAGTAAATAGGTTAGGTTCTGTTGAATTAGTTCAGGTTAGGTTGTTAGGTTAGGTTAGGTTGTTAAATTAGGTTAGGTTAGGTTGTTAGGTTAGGTTGGTTAGATTGTTGGGTTAGATTGTTAGGTTAGGTTTGGTTGTTAGGTTAGGTTGTTATGTTAGGTTAGGTTGTTATGTTAGGTTAGGTTGTTATATTAGGTTAGGTTGTTNAGGTTAGGTTGTTAGGTTAGGTTAGGTTGTTAAATTAGGTTAGGTTAGGTTGTTAGGTTAGGTTGGTTAGATTGTTGGGTTAGATTGTTAGGTTAGGTTTGGTTGTTAGGTTAGGTTGTTATGTTAGGTTAGGTTGTTATGTTAGGTTAGGTTGTTATATTAGGTTAGGTTGTTATGTTAGGTTAGGTTGTTATGTTAGGTTAGGTGGTTATGTTAGGTTGTTATGTTAGGTTAGTTGAAGAATATTTTAACTAACATGACCTGACCTAACCTAATCACCCGCAAAGTCTAGAATTTTAAAGAACAATTCTATTACAGAGATAAAATGAGGAAAATAACATACTGCGTAATTTTACTACAGAGGTTTTGTTTGGGGGAATGTCCATCCAAGGAAAGACCAACGCAGCGTGCGAGCAGATCATGAGTGAGCAGATCTTTGCAGGAACCCGTCCCAACTCCCAACTAACTAACTGTTGATGTTGCCAGTGACACGTCTCAAAGATGTAAGATAATGTGTAAATTGTAATTTTGAATCAAAGTGGTAGGTAAACCTCTCGGAAACTTATCGATACCTTTACGATACTACACTGATGTCATCAACCAAAACAAGTGTACTACACTACCGTTAAAGGGGACAACGCAAAGTTTACAAAATGGAACGTCCCAGGTGTACACAATACAATATTTACTAGGGTCAATGAAGTGTACTTTTCAGGTGATGTTCAGTTGGGGGAAGTGGTAGTTATTGAAATTTTGCCTTAGATTTACTTCTAGATTTGTAATTACCTGAGTCTAAACTGAGTTTGCATTTGTAAGATGTGTTTGTGTCTGCAGCCTGGAATGGATAACTGAATTACATGTCTTGGGACTCATGCAGTCTGTGAGGCACAGATGTGTCTATTCTCCTCCCCAACTTGTTATTCATTAGTGATTGTTGTTTTTGAAATATCAAACTATTTGTGATCTTGATGCAAGTTATCTTGATTACATTTGCGTAACTCAGAGTTCCCTATTTCACCTGCAACCTTGATACCCACATTAAATGGGGAAGTGTTCTTTTTTGATTGCCATTATTTTAGCTGTTGCAAAAAAGAAGCAAACAAAACAATTTTGTAGAAAGGGAAACCTTTTGGAAAAGAGATGTTCAAACTTGGTTTAGTCTTTTCTGAAATGCATAGTAACAATTTAAGAGAAATTGAAAGCATCTGTGGAGCATGGAAGACATAGATTGAATTTTGGTCAATTTTTGAATGTTCTAGGACGGTTAATTGTGGTGAATTTTATTATTTATGCAATGAGATGTGCCTTTCTAGGTGTAAAACTGCTGGTTTCATTATACAGTAAAACCTCATTACAACAAACTCCCAGGGACTTGATAAGAAATTTGTTATAACAAAAAATTTGTTGTATTATTTGGAGAGCCTTTGAATAGCTATGGAAATGCTATGATGTGACTACAGTAGTTGGTTTTGTTCACATGATGTGATGGCAATTTCCCCTGTTGCGTTTCAAATGTTTTACCTTGCAGGGTCCACATGTAAATACTAGGGTCATCTTTGCAAATGTTTACAATGATGTGTACTTTTCAGGTGATGTTATCTTGGGGGAAGTGGTAGTTATTGAAATTCTGCTTTAGATTTACTTCTAGATTTGTAATTTCCTGATTCTAAACTGAGTTAGCATTTGTAAGATGTGTTTGTGTCTGCAGCCTGGAATGGATAACTAAATTACATGTCTTGGGACTCATGCAGTCTGTGAGGCACAGATGTGTCTATTATCCTCCTCAACTTATTATTTATTAGTGATTGTTGTTTTTGAAGTATCAAACTATTTGTGATCTTGATGCAAGTCACATTACATTTGTGTAACTCATAACTCCCTATTTCACCTGCAACCTTGATACCCATAGTAAATGGTGAAGTGTTCTTTTTTGATAGTCATTTTAGCTGTTGCAAAAAAGAAGCAAACAAAACAATTTTGTAGAAAGGGGAACCTTTTGGATATGAGATGTTCAAACTCGGTTTAGTCTTTTTTTAAATACATAGTAACAATTTCAGAGAAACTGAAAGCATCCCTGGAGCATGGAACAGATAGATTGAATTTTGGTCAATTTTTGAATGTTCTAGGATGGTTAATTGTGGTGAAGTTTAATATTTATGCAATGAGATGTGCCTTTCTAGGTGTAAAACTGCTGGTTTCATTATACAGTAAAACCTCATTACAACAAACTCCCAGGGACTTGATAAGAAATTTGTTATAACAAAAAATTTGTTGTATTGATATTCATGATTTCTAGCACATATTAGACAGAAATTTTGTAGGAAAGGGGAAATGATATTTAAGTTGCTTCCAAAACAAATAATTCAATAATTATATTATAAATATTGAGCATTCCTGATGAAAGAAGAAAAAAAACTTGAAATAAATACTGTATGAAAACAATTGAGTAAATTAAAATTGCATATCTAGGTATTGAAGGAGTCTAGTGGAGTTCATATTCATGGATGAGCTAGACTTGAGGCTCTTCAAGAGATTTTCAGCCTATTTGTCAGTTGTGTTACATCTGGAGGCAGTCAAGTGTTTGGGTGCTACCTAATCATGAGTACAAGTCCTTTCTGGCTGTAGGTCTTCAACTGTGCAACCCAACTCAAGGTCACATGTGTAACACCACAGAAGGTTCTAATATCAAGTATTTTTATTCATTTTACAAATGCTTTCTTTTGCATAAACTTATTTTGTGTGCAATGACTTCCTCTGTTGGATTTTTGAATGGGTTATGAACGCTGGAGCCCAAATTTAGTGTTGTCACAAGTATTGTTTCCTTTCCAGGTACCCCATAGATACTCATGTTATTGGTGCATGAGACTTGTCCTTTGAAGACTTATCAATTGACCAAATCAATTTGACCAGTACTGCAGTATTGTGCACTGTAGATTGCCTTTGTCTGCAAGGTGGGGGTTGGGTTTGCTGTCCCCCCCCCCCCCCTAATTGTAATGTGAGCGTCGATTTGTGGGATGAACAGTAGTAGACGCCGGAGAATTGCAACGCCGTTCAGGAAATGTTGTGCGCGCCCCGTCTTTTGTGATTGGTTGGCACCGAGCTGGCGCGGTGCCAACGCGGCGCTCTGATTGGTGCCGCGCGACAGGCGCGTCGCGTTTTCCCGCGGCTCACTCTCGGAAGATGGTCGTAGTTTGTCCTGTTTTTACCCGGTTCCAGATCAGTTGCGAACGAGCGTTGGTCGGGTGAAGACGTGTTTGTGAGACGTATGGGAGTTGCGTTTTGATACCGGTTATGGGTGATATACAGTTGAAGCCTTGCTAACTTGCATACATCCCTATGAACGACTTTTCGAGTTCAGTACATGTCTGAATTCTCTTCAAAATAATAAATGCAAAAATCCGCGTGCCTCGAAGCACCCCCACCCCCCTTGAACCTCCTTAAATCGAATTTGATGGTGGCCTTTTTGGCTGTTATTTCGGTGCTTTCCTGTTATCTCAGTACCTACTTTCCGTGCACCTACCGGAAACTGTGAATTTCATATTTCCACATTCTGCTGAATCTGATTTTGGGAAGCAGTTGGGTAAAGTTAGGTTAGGTCAGGTTATGTTAGTTACAAATATATTTCAATTAACATAACCTGACCTAACCTAACCTAACAAATACTATTTCAGCAGAAACTCAAAGAAAGCAGTGACTGATTTTGGGAGGAGGTTAGGTGAAGTTAGGTTAGGTCAGGTTATGTTAGTTACAAATATATTTCAATTAACATAACCTGACCTAACCTAACCTAACAAATACTGAATTCACGAGACAAAGAAAAATGGGTACTGAGATAACAGGAAAGTACCATTATTTCTTTGACAAAGGAAAAAGACAAGCAATAAAAATGTGATAATATGTTCTGAAAGGGAGTGAAAGACTTGATGGGTGAATGATCCCATGTCTCCAAGTTTGGCATCCTGACAACTCATTCAAGAGGGAATCAAAGGCCTTGAAATATCACCAATCACAATTTTCTGTGATTCTTCTGCATCTCTTTGAGGCAAAATGCATGTCTGGCTGGAAACCCCCCTAAAATGTAATTATATTTCTGGTTCCTTGGAGCTTAACTTGAGAAGGTTACCTTGTGATTGGATTTATTCCCTATTGCCCATGTAAAAAGAAAATTAAAAATGCAGGTCTTGTAAATTCGATTTTGCTTGACAAGCTTGATTTGATGCAGTGAATATAATACTGTACAGTCTAACCTCCAAGCAATGAGTTAATATGAGCAGTAAGTTTGATGGAAGGAAATCCAGTTTCGCGAGTTTGTTTTTCTTCCTTTGAGCAACCAGGTCAAGTACCTGAATAAAATGTGAAAAAGTCAGTGAAGGTCGTCTTGGACAAATGTAGAAATTGCAGGAATTCAGATTTTTTTACTGGAGAATTTTAAAACTGCCCATATTAATATCTGGATTTATTTTTCTGAAGTCAATTTACGGAAAGGTGAACCTTGGACAATAAAATGATGCAATGGCTCCTCTGACAATATTTCGAGGCTTGTTTCTCCGCTTTTGTACATTTTTCTGTGATCGACGAGAATATTAGTTCGCCCTTGATTTCAACATTTTCCAATTATTCTTGGATATTCTGAAATTTCCCAAGTTTCCAGCCAGGGTTGTTATTGTTGATGATTTTTACTGTCTCGCTTTCTTGTGGCTCGAAATCCAGTAATTCCGTGTTTTCAACCGGGTTTATGGTGTTGACGTATTGTTTTTAGATTGTGGCGCGAGAATTTCTCACGGATTGCAACGGAACTAGTGAATGTACGATTTTTGTTGCTGCTTACGAACTAAGTACGATGAGGTATAATTCACTTGGAGTACTGAGCAGTACTTTTGTGAACGTCTGACCGACAGGGACGAGAAGACGTATCAATGATCGTAATTCTCCCCCCCCCCCCCCCCCCCCACCCCAAAATCTCTCCTGTGTCAGATTTTCTTTCGCGATTATTCTGTTACGAAGCTGATTATTTTCTAGTAATGAATTCGAGATGCTTCGATTGTGAAACTGATTTTGCAAGAAATCCAGTTTCGCAAACAGAGCTTCTATTGTGTGACGTTTAAAAGATGATGAGTTTTTAATCATCACCCTGATGTGAGTTTCGTTCAAAGTCTGAATTGAGATAAGCCAGATAATATCATTCAGTTCATGGGTATGGAGCGACATCTACAAGAATTCTGAATATCTTCGGCCATTATTCCCGTAGGGAAACGAGAACGACGAAAACATTAGAATAGATGTAATCTTTGTATGTGTTTATTTTAAATAAATCATTTATCCGATGTGCGGATATAAGAAGTTCGGATGAACTAAAATATGCAAGGGACTTCGAGGAAATATTCCCGCAGTTTTTACTGTCTTTATGATGTGAGATTTATTTGTTTAGGAGTGATTATGGTTGAAAGTTTGTGGTGTTCTCCCTTGGGGGTTCTTTTCCGATGCACAAATCACGTGTATTTATATTTTTCCTATTCTTTCAGTGAATCTACTGGAGACTGGATTCCCTCACTTATCATTAGTACGAAGAGGAAGTGAAAGCGGATCGTGTCTCGCCTGAGTTACTTTCCTTGACACTCCCCTTTTGGTATGGTGGTGGTCTTTTTCAGTGCTTTGTGTATGTGTGTCAGGAGGAACTATTTTATCTCTTGTATGCCGTGCGTGAAAGTGGCGTCAATTATCAATGTATTGCTTTTATTGCTTGCTGGTGGAGAGAAATCTCGAAGAGAAGTGATTACATTCAACCCCCGCACAACGGACTTTATTTTTTGAACTGGTTAATAGTCTGTTGTGTGAAAACTCTGTTATGCAAATTTTATATTTAAAAATGGAAATTTTTACTTTTTACCATTAATCTGCAACCAACAGAAGTCTGTTCTACAGATTTGGTTGTTTGTGCAGGAGGGAAAACTGCCTTCAGAGGCAGTCTGTTACTCTGTTGTTAAAAAGTCCAATGTGTGGGGTTAACTGCATTTTAAGCTATAACAGGTGAACCTCAATATCTCGAACCTCTCTGTTTTGATTACAGTCAAACCTAGTGCCCCATTTGTCTTGGCACATTTTGTGGCACTAAGCAAGAGAGGTACTAAATTGAGGGTATTGTATGAGAGAGGTCCAGTTGAGGAATTCTGTTGGAAGAACAAATGAGCTTGTTTTCAGCATGTGTAAGCCAGTCAGCCTGTTTTATGCAAGAGAAAGCCAAAATAAATAATTGTAAGCTTATCAAAGATGCCATTTTTATATATTATTTAAAAATATGTATTAAAGCCAAATATATTAGTTTATTAAGCAAATGACATCTAGTAAAGTATCACATCTGTTTATTAAAATTGTGTGTGGTAGAAATGCTTGTTTGTTTTATGTGAACTGCCATCACAAAGTAATCACCAATATTTCAACAAAAACTTCCATTTTATGTATTTTCAATGAAGGAGGAAAGTTATGCAAAAAAGAAAAGAAATTTCAACAATGTAAATTCTGAAAGGAAAACCTTTACCATTATCCTGAGTTTTATGTGAGAATAGGGATGGGATTTTCAGTTATGAGTGTTAAAACCCAATGAAATCCCCTTGAAAATGCCTTGATTAATTCAATTTCTGCCAATTTTTTAAGCATGACAAAGATTTGTTGTGGCACTGAATCAGGGTTTCCTCAAGGACATAATGGAGGGAGATGTGCAACAGACAAATTTGTGGCACTATGCAAGGGTGGCACTTCATTAAAGGTTGATGGTACCTCCTATTTCAAGTTATTTTAAAGTTCCTGCTGAAACCTCATTTAAAATGCCTTGAATAATTTCAATTTCTGCCCATTTTTCAAGCATGACAAATATTTTTTTGTGGCACTGAGGGAGTTGACACTGCATTATGGAGGGAGATGTGCACCAGACAAATTAGTGGCACTATGCAAAGGGTGGCACTAAATTGAAGGTTGATGGTACCTCCTATTTTAAGTCCCTGATGGTATTCCCTTAGAAACAATGGACTAAAACATTGCCAACCCCAAGGCTTTCCTCAAACTTAGTTGAATTTTCTAGATGCCTTTTGGCTATTTTATTTACATAGAAAATGACATTTTTTAAAATGTTTTTTCATTGAATTATTGACTGTAAAAAATTTATTGTGCCAAAATTTTCGGTTTCTCAAGAGTGCATTTTTGTCAACATTTCGAAAATCATTTTCCTCCTAATTTCTCGCGTTTTTCCTTGAGGTCATGTTTTTTTTCGGTCGTCGTGCTTATTTGTTATTTTTTTTCCTTACTAAAATTTTATTCTTTATTTGTTGCAGGTGATTAATTTGGGGGGAGGGAGCCTGAATTTAAGCCTCGAGCAGCGATGAATTACTTCGGGCTCGGGCGTTATTTTCACAACGTGCGCGAGTTCTACAAGGAGATCAACGCGGCCACGTTGACGGGAGCCATAGATGTAGTGATTGTGCGGCAACCCGATGGAACCTACCTCAGTTCCCCTTTCCACGTCCGGTTCGGGAAGCTAGGTGTGCTCCGTGCCCGGGAAAAAATTGTGAGTTTTCTTTTTATATGTGCGTAGGGCGTTGGCTTGAAGGAATCCTCAATGTTTCCAGCAGGAAAGCTCCCACTTTATTTTTGAAATATTCATTGAAGAAAGGTGTCGTGCAAAAAAATAAAAAAGTTGATATGTGAAGAAGATTTTAGGAAAATACAATGAGACCCCCACATGTGGACACCTTGACATGGCGACAATTTGAAATAGGGACATTTATTTTTCAATAAAAACATCTTTAAAAAGGCTCAACATATGGACACTGACTTGACATGAGGACAATTGCATGATAAAATTGCCAATAAATTTTAGGAACATTGACTTTTATTAGGCTTAATTGCAAGAAACAAATATTTCCAACCCCAAGATTTATGCAAGAAAATTTCTTTGTCATTTCTCCCATCATTTTCCCATCCATTCAGCTAATTACAAAAAATTACCTGTTGCAAAAAGGGACTTTCTTCTCTCTTTGTCACTTGAATGTTATTTTTGTAGATGCCAACATTTCAATGTACATTACAGGGATACACTATTCAATGCTCCGAATGTTCTTATTGAGTTGAAAATATATTTCCTGAATCAAATTCAAGCAGCAAACAATATTTTTCATGGAAATCTGAAGAATATTTCTTCCATAAAACACCAATTGAAAATTATATGATGTAAGTCTATGGGAAAACAAGACTCAACTTGGGGACACTCTTGATGCACCAATTATGTCCTCATCTCAAGGTCTCACTGTAATTCTTTCACAATCACACAAATGCGCTGAATCATACAGTATTTACTTGAGAATCATGCGCCTTCAAGTAAGGCGCGCACAGGGGTTTTTCAGTTGGAAATTTTGCTAAAATCGTATCCCCAAGTAAGATGCGCGCCCCAATTTTTAGTGAATCTGAAATCACAAAATTTCGAAAATAAAAACAAAAAATTAGACTTTGGACATGAATTGAACAAAAATCTGACCAATTTTCAACTGTTTCAGTACAAAAAAGTTTTCTTGTCACATTTGTTCCAAATTTCTCCATTATAATCAAGTATAATGCACACATAAGTTCCTAAAACTTCTTGGAAAATTTGTACCCGCTTATGACATGCACCCCTTTTTTTCTTCTGAAATTTGAGGAAAAAGGTGCGCGTGGTACTTGAGTAAATACGGTAATTCAATTTCTTGCATATCTAAAAAAAATTAATAATAATAATCTTGATCATGATCATCCTTGGTGAAATTATTTTTTCCTTGATGATTCAGCCATTTTAAATGACAAATGTCAACTTCGTGGCTGTAGTTGCACAAAAAATAGTTTTCTTTAATGATCAAAACAGCCCATGGATCCGGTAATTTTCCATGGTTGACGTTGAAATCCATTTAATGGTACACGACGTTCCTTTTCCTTGCAATTTCCCATAGGTGGATATCACGATAAATGGAGAAGAGAAGGAGTTGCACATGAAATTGGGGGAGAATGGAGAAGGGTTCTTCGTGATCGAGGCTGGCGAGGATGAAGAGCTGCCTGCGGAACTCGCCACGTCTCCCATCAACACCATGGGCGGGGAGTTGATGGACCTGAACCTGGGTGCTCGTGCAGCTGAGTTGGAGCGACTTGAACAGCGTGTCCCGAGTGACCAGGAAATGGAATCTTCTTCTTCTTTCCAACCGGATCGGGATCGAATGGTGCATATTATTATTTATTTTTATTTTTTGAATTTAAAAGAAAAAAAATGACATCCATTGCAGCATTTATTCTACTAAAGATGGGGTGCGCCTCTTCCTTGGGGGGGATATGTTTTTGGCCAAATTTTGAGAATGAGAAAATCAGGTGCTCTTCTGTTTATTTTTGTTGTTGTTGAGGGCCCATGGTATTCGAGTAAATGCCGTAGAAATGATGGAGTGACTCATTTGTTATTCTGACGATATTTTCGTTTACTTCTTTGTTAAATTTCATGTGTGATGCATCTTTTGTCTGCATACTGTTTTGGGCTTATGCTCTTTTAGCACGCAACTGTTTTTTTTTTCTTGTGTGTTTGGGCTGTTTTCGTCCCATCTCTTTTTTTTTGTATGCTACTATAAATTCTTCTTACCCATGCTCTTGATTTTTAGCGGTGTTACTTTTTTTTTTGGTATTATTTGTTTTGTTTTTTTTTTTTGAGCTTGGAGAGGATTCATTTTGAATTTTTGTGTGTTCTCGTCAACAGGCTCAGGAGCTTGTCCAGCAGCTGAACGAGGATCGGAAGAATGATTTGAAGTGGGTTGTGTTTTTATTTTACGTATATTTTTTCTGGTATTTTTCACTCGTTGCTGTGTTGACCGAGTCTTTGCTTGATTTATTCTCTGTAACAATCAGCTACAAAAAAATTGTCCGCATGAAGGAAAAATTTGAAAGATTGAAATTGAGTGTCCAAAGGATGAAACAATAAGATTTGGGTCGTAATGAAATCCAAGGCAAACTGCTCTTGAAATTATCATGGTTGTTGATGAATTTGGGTGAGTAATTCAGTGACCTTGATGTTGAAGGGACAAATTTCAAAAATAATTGGAACTCACGGTTATTTTATTATTTCTTATCGCATTTAAATCGATTCGAGAGTCAAAAACAGTAATTTCAACTGTTATTCAGTAATTTGACGTGATTTTATCATCATTTCAATTGTTTTCCCTCGTGATGCCGACTTGCCTGAAATGGAAATTTCTGAGAAGTGAGAAAGAAACGACGATGGCGAATGATTGAAAATATTACCTCGTTTTGGATTGTTCCATATCTTTCTTATTCTTCTTTTTTTTCCAGTGTCGCGAATGCAGAACAAGGCAATGTGGCGTCGTCGGGCTCGTCGAGCGAGGAAAAGTCGCAGCAGACGAACAACCGCCGCAAGCGGCGCCGCAAAAAGGCCGCCGCGAAGCCGCCGGAACGCAGCCCGGAAAAGGACGAGGACATTTTCGAGATGGAAGATTTCCGCGTGTCGGACGGCGACCCCGGGGACGACACGACGTCAGCGGCCGACAATGACTTTGAAGACGTGGCCTCGTTTCCCGAGAGCCGACGAGTGTCGGAGATTCATCCTTTCAGTGATACGGATTTGAGCCCCGTGGCGAGTCCGCATTTGAGTCGGGCGGAGACGCCCATCAAGTCGGATACCGAGTATGAGTTGTCGGAGCATCGCACGGACGCGTCGGAATCGGCCCGGACGTCTGGGCCACCAGGAAGTCAGTTGAGGTGTGTTTTTGTTTTTTTGTGAAAGAACGAATTTTGTCGTGAGCGGTAATGCTGTATAAAGATATTCGTTGTGACGAGATTCTAGTAATCTAGTGAGACCCCCGGGTGTGGACGTAATTGGTGCATCAAGAGTGTCCCTAAGTCGAGTCTCGTTTTCCAATAGACTTACATTATATAATTTTTAATTGGCGTTTTATGGTAGAAATATTCTTCAGAATTCCATGAAAAAAAATGTTTGCCACTTGAATTATATCCAGTGAATATATTTTCAACTCAATAAGAACATTTGGAGCAATTGAATAGTGTGTCTCTGTAATGTACATTGAAATGTTGGCATCTACAAAATAACATTCAAGTCACAAAGAGAGAAGGAAGTCCCTCTTTGCAATAGGTAATTTTTTTAAATTAGCTGAATGGATGGGAAAATGATGGGAGAAATGACAAAGAATTTTTCTTGCATAACTCTTGGGGTTGGAAATATCTGTTTATAGCGATCAAGCCAAATAAAGTCGATTTTTGTGAAATTTAATGGCAATTTTGTCATGCAATGTCCGCATGTCGAGTCAGTGTCTGTATGATGGGCGTTTTTTATGCCCTTTTTATTGAAAAATAAATGTCCCTACGTCGAGGTGTCCACATGTGGGGGTCTCACTGTACTATATACGCGAAATGATTGAACAAGTTGCGAGGCAGAACTTGGCATGCATTTTTTTATTTAAAACGATTTTATTTTTATTTAAAGTCGTCTTGCTCTGTTTTTATTTTTTATTTTTTTAGGTGGGATTGGGGTGAGTTGCCAGCGAGACAAACCCCAGCGACGGCGTCATCCGCCGTCGGCGAGACGCAATCATCCGCGGAAGCAGCGATGACCGCCTCCACGTCCGCCACTCCTGCCACAGCCGAGGACGTCGTCACGCAGGAAACGGAGGAAGAAACCGAAGCGGCGCCTTCAATGCTCGGCTCCATGTTCAGTTTCATTCGGAGGAGTAAAAACCCTGCGACGCGCGTGCGGAAAGAACGACGAGGTTTGTCTTCTTCTGCCATATTGACCAACACAACGGCGGCAACAACAACTGCGAATGCGACGACGACGAAGACGACAGCAGCAGCAGGAACAGGTGTGATGATGAGTCAGTTGGATGAGGAGCGAGTTGTGGCTCAGGTTTTGGAGCCGGCGCCGCCGTCGGTGTCGGCGGAGCCACCGGCGCCAGCGCCGCCACTGCCGCACGCCGCGCTTCCCTTGACGGGTATTTACCTGGATGATTTGACTGATGACGTGGAGCCCGAAATTGCAGCGCTTTATCTGAGGTCGGGGCGGACGATGAGGTCGGAAGTGTCGCATAATGTTCAACATTTCCGCGGTACGTTTTTGATGGCGGTTTTGTTTTTTTTTGCAACGCCTTGGTTCACGAAGAAATGTATTTTTTAGTTTTCTTTTTTTGCTTGAAAAGATATGGACGCACCGTAATTTCTGCGGAGTGAATATATTTGATGCTACAGTAGTAAATCTGAACTCTATAAGTCGAAGGCATCCCATTCCAATTTCGATTTTTAGGCTTCCCCCCCGTCAAATCGCCTTCAATTTTCTGAAGCATTTTTCCGAATGTTTTTCTGACTCGGGTCAAGAAGAAAATAATAAAAAATTAACTCTGTGATTTTTTTGAAAGGAAGTGAATGAGTAACCGGGGAAAATGAGCTTCTTGCCTCGAAATTCGGCATCCTGTCGACTTCTTCTCAAAGCAGTTTTGGGCCAACAAAAAAAAGATTAGTTCGTAATGCAAAAATGTTACTTATCCTAATTCAAAGCCTCCGTGAGTCGTATTTTTATTTTTTTCTTGCAATTTGACTTGAATGAGATATTCAGTAATACTTTTTGTGGCCCAGGAAAGGGAACAGCCATAAAAAAAAGTGTATCTTGATGCTTTTTTTTTAAAGGAAGTGAAATATTTATTGGGAAAACGGAACACTTGCCTCGAAGTTCAGCATCCTTTCAACTTCTTTAGAAAGCAATTCAAAAAAGGATAAATGATTTCAACTTCCTTCAATTCTTTTTTTTTTTCAAGGCAAAAATGGTACAGTAGTTTTTTCAACTTAAAACCTCCCTGTGTCAATTTTTTTTTCTGGTACTTGAGAATTTGATGAATTCACAGGATATATTTTTGCTAGTAAATATCCAAAATTTCGTTGGTACCGAATTCGTGATCTGGGAAACTTTAAAAATGAAGAAGTGTTTCAACCGTTGAATAGTTGAGTTTATTTTGCTAAATGTGGCGCTTCTCTTTGAAATTTTTAGTCCTTGGGGGGAAAAAAAGTCGTCTGAAACTGCGTTACAATGCAAGAAAATTTCTAGCGATTTCTTTTATCCCAAGCTAGGGTGATGAAATAAATTCCGGACATCGCTCGAATTCAGTCACTAGTTTATGAATATGTTGATCAATTAATTTACGAAATGTGTATGGAGTGAACTCGGAATACTGTTCTGTAAAAAAAAAAAAAGAAATTCCATTTAATTTCGGACGTGGCACATTTTAAAGTCGCTCGCGCTTAAGTTGAACAAAAGGATGATTACAAATGGAATGTTGCGATTCCAGGTCCAAGTGATGAAGATCTCGATAGTGGGAAAGGTCCTAGTCTGTCTCACAGTCCAAATTCGAATTTGGGAGAAGATCCAGCTCAGGCGTCCGATTCCGACGATGGCGCTGCTCAGATGAAGCCTTCCAAGCGACGCGCTCTCGACGCTCTGTGAGTTTCTCCATCATCCATCTTGAATACATCATAAATACTGTATTCACTCAAGTACAGCTGTACACGCACTTTTTTTCTTAATTGAGAGGGGGAAATGGGGGTGTGCATCATTAGCAGAGAAAAAAAAATTTTCAAAAATGGTAGAAGTTTAGTTGCGCATCAGATTTGAATGTGCAGTGAGACCCGCACAGGCAGACAATTTGACATAGGGACACTTATTTTCCCATAAAATAAAAAATAAAAAAGGCCCAACATGAGGACACTGACTCAAGATGGGGACATTTTGTGATAAAATTACAAATAAGTTTCTGGCCAAATTACAAGAAACAGGTACTGTATTTCCAACCCTAAAATTGATGTAAGAAATGTACTTGGGGATTTCTCTCACGAATTTACAATCCATTTAGCTAATTTAAAAAAATTACTTCCAGCATAGAGGGACTTCCTTCACTCTCTTTCACTTGAATGTTATTTTTACAGAGAATGCCAACATTTTATATGTACTGTACAATACAGAGGTATTAGTATTCTATTCCCCAAATGTCCATATTGTGTTGAAATATATTGTCTGAATTAGTTTCAATTGGGAGAACATTTTTATTTTCATGGAATTATGGTGAGTATTTTGTCCATGAAACACCAAGTAAAAATTACATAATGTAAATCTAAGGGAAAATGAGAGTCAACTTAAGGACACTCTTGATTCGCCAAATATGTCCGCATCTTTGGGTCTCATTTAACAGTATAATGGGAACATTTTGACTGGAACTTCTTTAAATCAAAACAATTGTAACAAATTATCAGGTCTTTGCACGCTCTTTGATTTTCTGTGTTTCTATAGAACAGCTTTATTCCTGTTTACACTGGTTTTTTTGTGAAGACATTTTATTGTACTGCATTTCATTATTTTGGCACACCCACTAATTTTACTGGACTGAAGTTTCTGCCATTTGAAAAAAAATTTTTGATTTCTTCCAGTCTTTCAACAGAAAAGGAAGAAAAGAGGAAACTTGAATTGAACTGTTCAGCTCAATGAACATTTTGGAGGTTCCAAATTTTTCCTTGTGCCCCCAAATTTGGACATTCAAAATTTTATTGTGGATTTTAAGGCTGTCTCTCTCATCTTTGAGAAACCTTTAGCTTCAAAGAACAAAATATGTTTTTGAAAAGACACGTGACCTCGACTTTGCTGCATAAATTTTTCTGATATCATGTCAAGTCCAGGAGGTCGATATACGGAAAACCTTTAGCCTCATGTGCGTGATAAGATAACATTTTCGAATGTATTTACAATCTTTTCTGCGCTGTTAAAAGTTCAAGTTCACCTTATTTGCGGAGAATGATGAAGCACGTTTCTTGGTTGTAAAATGTTCCACTCGTATCACCGGTTTTCAAACAAACAAAATTTCCCATGCTCATATGGCGTGATTCCTGCAAAAATTGAAGCAGGAAATTTATTTGAATGGAGCAAGTTGTTTTCATTTTTGGTTTTCCCTCATTTGGACACGTTACCTTGCTCTTGCCGCTCTGCTCGACACACTATTATTGTTGGTATCTGTGTGAAGTTGTACAATAAAACTACTGTAACTCTCACTGAGTAACTTTTGTATTTCCTCTGGAAGTTGCGGAAAACGATTTAAATCTCTGGCCCTTGGCAGCATTGGATCAAGCAATTCTCAAACCACAACATTGTTATCCCAAACTGTCAAATTAAACTAGAATTTGGAAATACGCGTTGAACGTCATCTTTGCTTAGTAAGTCCTTATTGTTATTTGATGGTTGCTGTTGAGACAAACTTGAGTCCAGAAGCATTAGTCCTTATGGCCAGGGTAAAGCAAAGTGATGTTTCTTCTTGGTAAGTACAAGTAGGTATACTGTATTTCAATACTTGCAAAGTATAGACAACATAGACCAAACCAGCAATGAGCCCAGAAAGAGTGTTTGGACACTCCTTTATAGATTGCAGATGCGTGAGACAGGTGACTGACCATGCATAAACAGAAAGTAAACTGGCACATGTGAATGACTGGTCACCAGACACTGTGGCAGTGTTCTGGTAAACTGCTTTCAGTTACATGCTATGCAGACCATACAAACATGAAATTCAATTTGAGAATGGGGTATTATTAACCTGTTCAAGAACTAACTTAAATATGATGATGGCATTGTAATTGCCTGATCAGCAGTTTAAAAGAAATACTGCTCACTGACACAAGACAACACCTTTAACAATGATGACCTTTTTTTCTTTGTGAAAGTCAAAAAATTTTTTTTTGTGAAATGTCTTGATGTTCCTCTCACAGATTATTTTTTGTATTTCCTTTGGAAGTTGCGGAAAACAATTTAAACCTCTGACCCTTTGTCAGCATCAGATCAAGCAATTCTCAAACCACAACATTGTAATTGCCTGATCAGCAGTTTAAAAAAAATATTGCTCACTGACATCAGACAAGACTTTTAATATTGACCTTTTTTTCTTTGTGGAAGTCAAGAAAAAAATGTTCTTTTGTGAAATGTCTTGATATTCCTCTCACAGAGTAAATTTTGTATTTCCTTTGGAAGTTGCGGAGAGTTGCGGAAAACAATTTAAATCTCTGACCCTTGTTGGCATCAGATTGAGCAATTCTCAAACCACGACATTGTAATTTCCTGATCAGCAGTTTAAAACAAATATTGCTCACTGTCATAAGACAACACCTTTAACAATGATATCCTTTTTTGTTCTTTGTGGAAGTCAAGAAAAAAATGTTTTTTGTGAAATGTCTTGATATTCCTCTCACAGAGTAACTTTTGTATTTCCTTTGGAAGTTGCGGAAAATGATTTAAACCTCTGACCCTTTGTCAGCATCAGATCAAGCAATCCTCAAACCACAACATTTTAATTGCCTGATCAGCTGTTTAAAACAAATATTGCTCACTGTCATAAGACACACCTTTAACAATGATATCCTTTTTTTGTTCTTTGTGGAGGTCAAGAAAAAAATGTTTTTTGTGAAATGTCTTTATATTCTTGCAAATTTCGGATGTGCATTGTTACAGATAATTTGTCAATTTGAGCAGAATAAAAGCTGCTGGAAATTAAATTGCAAGACAAAACCTTTTTTAATTTCTTTGGCATAGCAAAATCTTGAGCATGGTTCCACTGTGATGTTTGTTGTGAAAAATTCTTATTCTTATTTCATCAGGTCCCTGAGCAATGTGGAGCTGTCCAAGTGCGGCGGCTGGAACCAGGAAGGCGGCCCGAACCCGGCCGACTTCAACGCCAAGAAAGTCACTTTCGAGCACCTGTGCGAAGACCCGAACCTGTTTACCTCGTCCGACCTGGTTGTCCAACTCAATGGCCGGTATTTGCCCATCCAAACGGCGTTGCGAGCCGTGTGGTCCGAGCTCGTGTTTCGCCGTCCGCTGCCCGAAGACGTCCTGGAGCGTCACTTTAACCGGGAACTCGAAGCGGGCAAGTCCAAGTCGTCGTATTGGTTTTCGGGCTGGCGGCGGACGTCGACGGCGACGACGCCGCCGAAATCCGTGGCGGCCGTGAAGCCCACGGCCCAGGTGCACGCGGTGAAGGCCATGTCCGAGCCGGACTTGGTGACGAATATCCCGACGAATACCAGTGCTTCTTTGGGAGATCAACACCATTTTCATCATCATCAGCAGCAGCAGCATGAATTGATGATGCCACGAGAACAGGGAAAAGACAAGGAGCACGTGAAGGACCGCCAACTTGATGAAGATGAAGAGGAGGAGGAGGAGGATGACGGGCTTGAAAATGAGGCTGACACGCGTCGTTCGTCCTCCCGAGGAGCCAGGTGCATTTTTTAATTTTTATTTATTTTTTGAAGGATTGGTTTGAAATGCAGTGAGGGGCCTCGAGATGCGAACGTAATTGTTGCTTAGACCTTGTACCTATCCAACGTTTTTTTCATAGACATACAAGGGACTATGCAGTGTGACCCCGAGATGCGGACGTAATTGGTGCATCAAGAGTTTCCCTAAGTTGACTCTCATTTTCCCTTAGATTTACATTATATAATTTTTACCTTGTGTTTTATGGACAAAATACTCACCACAATTCCATGAAAATAAAAATTGCCTCCCAATTTAAACTGATTCAATCAATATATTTCAACACAATATGGACAATTGGGGAATTTCATACTGATATCTCTGTATACAGTACACATAAATTTTGTCATTCTCTGTAAAAATAACATTCAAGTGAAAAAGAGAGAAGTAAGTCCCTCTATGCTGGAGGTTAATTAATTCAAGTGAAAAAGAGAGAAGGCAGTCCCTCTATGCTGGAGGTTAATTTTTTGAATTAGCTAAATGGATGGTAAATTGGTGAGAGAAATGCCCAAGAGCTTTTCTTACATCAATTTAAGGGTTGGAAATACAGTATCTGTTTCTTGTAATTTGGTCTGAAACTTATTTGCAATTTTTTCACAAAATGTCCCCATGTTGAGTCAGTCTCCTCATTTCAGGCCTTTTCTATTAATTTTTTGGGAAAATAAGTGTCCTCTCTGCCAAATTGTCTGCACGTTGAGGTGTCCACATGTTGGGGTCTCACTGTATTTCATTGGTTCGTTCATTTACCCAAAAAAAAATGGGGAAGTTTTTCTCAACTTCTGGATACAAAAACTAACTGCAGAAGAAACCCACACAGAATCTGATCTTTTGGCACAAGAAGGAGTCCAGACAGCAAATATCAAGCGCAAGTTAATGCACACAGATGATGGAAAAAAAAAATCAGAGAAAATTCGGCACAAAATTAGCGTCTTCTGGATTATTAATAGGAGTGAATTGAAATTTTTTCAACATTTTTGTGAATATAAATTTACTGTAGCTCAATTTTTTCAAGAAGTATTAATATTTTGACAAATTGAACTTCTCAAATTTTATTTTAGAAATACTGGCGGCTCGTGCATATAGTATGATGTGTTGCTGGTTCAAGTTTTAATTTACCTGAGGTTTGAGTCGGGATTTGATTTTTATCATTATTTTTCCATGTGTGAAACTGCAAAAGAATCAGTTTTCTCGAACTTTCAAATTTTTCGCTATATTCGTTTACTTTTTTTTATTTTCCGGGTGAAGAACGAATGATTGGATCAGAGAATTTTCGATGTTTCAAGCTTTGGTTTATCTGAGGTTCGAGTCACGATTTAATTTTTTATAGTTATTTTTGCTCGCTGAAACTGCGGAAAAGCAAGTTTTTTGGGACTTTCAAGTTAGGCTCTCGATGTACGTTTACATTTTTTTTTTCGGCGAAAAATGAATGATTGGATGAGAGAATGTTTTGGTGTTTCAAGTTTTGATTCTTTTCTCTTCTTTTTTTTCCTATGGTATTAAAGAGTCGGGAAATTGGGTTCGAGCGGAGGAAGATCCCTTTCGGAGCCGTCACCGAGTGCAGGGAAACTCGGATACCGGCGATCTCTGAGTGCGTTGTCCGAGACACAGAGTCAGGAGTCGTTGGGCCATCACAGGAAAAGCCTGCGTCTCACGTCCGACCAGGTGGAGGCCCTGAATTTGCGCGATGGCGTCAATGAGTGCGTGTTCAGCGTCACGACGGCCTACCAGGGCACCAGCAAGTGCGGCTGTCACATTTTCCTCTGGAATTGGACCGACAAGATCGTGATCTCTGATATTGATGGCACAATCACTAGGTTGGCCTCTCTTTTTTTTTCTTTTTTCAAGCAGAACTCTCACCTTTGATTTTTTTTTTTTATCCAAGGGTTGGTTCATAAGTTTTGAGACTTTTTGAATTATCAACAATTCAAAACATTTCCTGTACTCCCATGGCCCCATAATTTGGCAACACTTCAGAACTTTCCGCCAATTTTCCCATGCAATAAATCGAGAGGTTGCCTAATCAACTTGAAGAACTCGATTTTCGGCCAGGTTTTAATCGTTGGATTTAGTGAAGTGCCCAGAAGGGAATAATTTCCATATCAGTGCATGTAGGCGAATTATTTGCACCTGATTTGTACCATGAATTTCAGAAATAAAAGGTTTGATTGCTAAGTTTTGAACTAAGTTCGTTATATGGAGAAATTTGTTGTAGATAGAATATACCAGTGTTGGAGACTTGAATTTTCTGAGACTTCTGGGTTTGACTCGACTTGAAATTCCTGGTACAGGACATTAATCTGAAGAATGATGATGATATTTTCCGGGGTTTCATTTATTTATTTTGTTTTTTTTCGTTGCAGGAGCGACGTGTTAGGCCATATCTTGCCGATGATTGGGAATTCGTGGGCCCAGTCTGGAGTCAGCCAGTTGTTCACCAAGATTGCGCGAAACAACTACAAGTTTCTCTACCTGTCTGCCCGGGCCATTGGACAGGCCAGGATCACCAGGGACTACCTGAGATCCATACGACAGGATGATCACGAACTTCCCATCGGGCCAGTCATGTTGAATCCCAGCTCTCTTTTATCCGCCTTTCATCGGTGGGTTGCTTTTTTTTTACTCTCTCTCTCTCTCTATTTTGCTCGTTTTTTTATTTTTTGAAAATGTGGTGTCTGAAGAAGAGCGTTATTGAACTTGTAAATTACGATTTTTTCGTATTCCTTGTCTGATCTCTTGGGATATTTTTGTAGGATCAAAGTGTTGGGAGCACTTCATTGTACAGTACATGTACTGTATATGATATCAATTTTTTTGTATTTTTTATTGCAATAAAATCTTGATGCAACAAACTTTTGGGGACTTAGTGAAGAGTTTTTTGCTCTGAATGATTTTTAAAAATTAGATTATCAAAATTAATGGCTGGAAAAAATTCTTACATCAGATCTACCTTTAATCAATTGGATCATGCTTTTCTGAAGTTCTCCATTTTTTTCCATCATTGTTTCAAAAACTGAGTGATCTTCTGGAAGCAAAAATTGGGTTCAATCATGCATTCCATCAGTTGCACAAATGTCTTCATTCTGAGATAATGATGTGTGGAACCACTTCAGAGATTTCAGCTTACATCCATGCTATAAAAAATGAAATAAAATAAAACCAGTCTGTCTCATTTAGGATGAGAAATTTTAGACTGTGCCTGCCTTATCCAGGAAATTTCTACTGGGAGAATTTATGAAATATTCCTCAAAAAATTGTGTTTTACTGGAATTGGGAGGTTATTTTAATTTTTCGGGGGCTGTTCAGACTTCAGAAAAAGTTTGTTATCCTGAAAAATGTGTTGCATTGGTATTTGTTGTAATGAGATTTCACTGTTCAATGTTTTTTTTTTTTGTGAATAGGGAGGTGATAATCAAGAAGCCAGAAGAATTCAAGATAGCCTGCATGAAGGATGTGCTGGCGTTGTTTCCAAAGGATGTGAATCCCTTCTACGCGGGTTATGGCAATCGCATCAATGTGAGTTTCCATGTCGATTTTGATGAGGTCAAGTTTGTATTACCTTTGTTCCAGCGACAAGTTATGAAAATGAAATTTTTGCATCATTTACTACAGTGATTCCCAACTTTTTCAGGCAGACTGACAAATTTCCATAATTTTTTTCTAAACCAGCAAATCTCCAAGTAACATTTCCTTGGAAACTTCGAAGTTTTATAAAATTTTTGCAGAATTGAAAGTTTTGTTTGTAAGACCTTATGGCAGGTATGTGAAAAGTTGCTGATTTTGTTGTTGCAGAAATTAAAGTAAGAACCATTGAGGCAGCTGTGATGGAATGTCTTCAAAGAATGTGAAAAGTGGGCTTGAAGAAAGGTTTCTCATAATGAAAAGTTGGTTGGAATAATTTCTTTCAGCAGGTGAAACTTTGTCTGAATTGTCTTTGGGAGAAAACCAACTTTATGTTTTGTTAAATACTTTCTACTAACATTGTCTTTTCAAAATCCAAGGTGAAGATTACAGACTTTATTGCTACTTTTTATAAATTTATTATGCTTGTTGAATAAATGCTCATGCACAAATTTTAACATTACACAAGTTTCTGGAAATAGAATACTCTATTTCCTTGTACAGGAAAGTTACCAGTATCCTCCTTTTATTTTCCCAAACCCACTTGAGCATCATTATTGAAGCTGCTTTTCATTTTAACTTGAGTTGTCAGCTGCTTGATTGCTTTCCCCCTCCTTGTACTTGAGGTACTGAGCTGTTCTTTTTATTTTGTGATGTTTCATCAACAATATATGCTGAGGAAAATTTCCTTTGCAAAAGACTGGCAAGCACTGATTTAGCGCAGTGCTGCCTCACCTGACAACCACAATTTGTTCCTTTTCAGTGGTCATTAGGTGAAATGGTTGTAAGGTGGGTCACATTTTCCCTTAGGATTAATGTAAACCCCATTAATTGATTCCTGAGAAAAAAAATTCTGGCAGAAAAATATTGAAATTTGGCTAAATTTTCAAATAACAAAGCACAGATCCCTGAAAACACTGCTATAGTTCATTCAAATGCTTTTCCTTATTAAATTGCTCTGCTCTCTTTCAAATACAACCCACAGAATTGATAGCAATTGTACTTCCTGCATGTGTGACATCTATGAGTGAAGAAGGAGTCAATCCTTGTGTGTAACTTTGCATAGATGTCACTTTTGCATGAGGTACATTAAGCAATTTAAGGCCTACAGAATATCACCAATTACAATTTCCTTCCATTCCTCTCACTTTCCTTCAGCAAAAATGCTTGAGAAACAACCATTTTTGTTGAGAGGAAGAAACAACAGCAATATAATTTGTTTTCTTCTGAATTTATTAGTTCAAGGGAAGGTCAGAAAATGTTCCAATGGTTGTTGGGTGAGTCATTTTTGAGGTTTTAAGTGGTTGTTATGCGGATCAGCCATTAGGTGAGTCACAAATGTAATTTGTGACTCAGTAAATATTTTCATCTGATTGGAATAACTGTGCAGTAGTGATTCAGGAGTGCTTTATTTTGGATTTTGATGACTTGCATTGCAGAAATTGAAAAACTGTATGCTTTTTCTTTTTTTTCTAGGATGCGTGGGCGTACAAAGCAGTTGGTGTTCCAGTGTCAAGGATCTTCACTATTAATCATCGCGGGGAAGTCAGGCATGAGCTGACCCAAACGTTTCAGACCTCGTGAGTCTGCAATTCTTCTCAACTGCAAAATTCCGGTTTTTGCAACTTTTCGTAGGACTAGTGTGCATATCATTATTGAAAAATTATTTCGCTGTATGTGTCTTCCCGGAAAACAAAATTAAAGTTGAAAACCGATGCAGTCGCACAAAGAATTGGAAGAAGAAACTACACATTTAAAAGAATGCAAGAGATGGAAAAATTAAACCAAACAAAACTCACGGTAAAAAGGATTTCTATACTTGAGAAACAATACTGATGCTTGAAAATTGGAAGCTTTTTTGGAACAATCCCCCCTTACAAATCTGTTCAAGAATTGCTTAGAAAACCTTACTCAACAAAAAGTGCTAATGTCCACCTATTATTCAGATTAATTGCTTCTTATTAACACATAAATTTCTTTTTGAAAGTATAAGTTTTTTAAAATGCTGAGAAATATCTGAAAAAGCCACAAAAGGAATATGTTGAAAGTATGCAGGCTTGATTTTCAGAAAATCTCCTGATCATTCAAAAATTTTTAAAATCTCAATATGACAAATAATCTGTTATGAAAACCTTTTTCTGAAGTCCCCACAAGTTTGTTGTAACACAATTTTACTGTATATTCCTTCTTTTCCGATGCTCAGCATTAAAAAAAATGTTCCTCTATTTTAAAGAGCTGAAAAGTATGAGTGAATGAATTGATTCAGAAAGAAGACCAATATTTTACCACCTGCAATTTTGTTTCATCTTATTTTTCAAGAAAAATGGCACCTTTGTAAAATAAAAACAGGTTTATTAAAAGGAAATTACTAAATATTTAAAATGTTCTATTCACATCATCAGAAATACATATTAATCGTGAATGGTCTTGGATTATTGGTTTTGGAAGCACTTCACTGTATTTATTGTCCATTTTCCATGAATTTTATTTTTGAAATGTGTTGGAAACCATGAATCTTAATACAATGAATTTTTCATTAGGTCCCTGTGAGTTTTTTTTTAAACAAGATTCAACTGTAATTGGTTCAAGTGAAAATGTGACTCTGCATAATGAAAATGTTGCCTGAAAAGCACAGGGTTGGAGCAAATTGTGTTCCTCAGGCATAAGGAACCACTGATGCATGCGTTGCGTACAGATGTCGCTTCTGGCACTTCAAATTTTTTTCTCACTATTTTTTTTTTTTTTTTTTTTTTCAGATATTGCGGCCTCACATACATGGTGGACATGGTGTTCCCTCCGCGGCCGGAAACCGACGTGGAATCCTGGTCGAGTGAAAGCCAACCCCAGGCTGGCGGGAACCCGTCTGCGGAAGAACTCGCCCTGGCGTCGGACCACGAAATCTACTCTGACTTCCTCTACTGGAGAGACCCCCTGCCGGAGCCCCAAGAACTCGCGGACGCCGTCAGGAAGCCCGGCGCCATTTCCAACCAAACTGACCTGGTTGTGGCGGCAGGGCCGGACGCGTCTCCGATGCGTCTCAACGGCGACTTGCTGGAGGCGGCGGTGGCGGCGGAGGAGGAAGACGCGGCTGATCGAGATGCCGCCAATGATGGCGGTGATGCTGATGGCGTCGATGAAGAAGAAGAAGATGATGATGATGATGGGGGTGTGAAGATGCCCAACGACTGACTAGTCGGCTTCTTGCTTCGGACAATTTTCATTGCGTGAAAGAGAGAGAGGGAGAGACTGGACACTAGAGAGCTTTCAGGAAAGAAGAAAAATCTGGGCAATTTTCTGTTACCCTTTGTTTGTTCGTTCGTTTTTTTTTTTTTTTAGTTTCATCAAAGTGAGGGAAAGTTCAAGTGTGTGATGGTGGGTTTTTATCAAGTGATGAATGAGTAAGTGATGATCGATTTGATTGATTGCTGGGTGAAGAACATTCCTTTGATGAAGAAGGCTGAGTGCTGGTGCAAAACAAACCGGGGTCCTGTGAGATCTCAAGAGGATGAGAGAGATCCTTCGTGTTGAATTGTTTTCATTTTTTTCGTCTTGATGAAGTTCCGGTTGAGTTTCAATGTTTTAAAGCTCTCTTTATCTATGTACCTTCGGAATTAAAGCTCGGATTGAAAGAAATTGGCCATTTCATTCCAGCTTTAGAGAATTTGGACGAGGAATGTTCCACCAGTTTTGAGTGAGTGTTGAAGTGTTTGTGAAATTTTTGTGCTCGAGCAGGTCTTCAAAGAAATTTTAGACCTCAATTAAATCATTGTAGCTTCAAGAATAAGCTTACATTTGTTGTGTCGGTTCATATGAAATACAATTTTTTTAGAATTTTAATTTTGATGTGGAATGAGTCCCTGCATATCATGAATCTGATGAAAGTTTTCTGTGGCATACCCTATTTCCTTGAGTACCATGCACCCTTGAGTAAGGTGCACACAAAGGTTTTTCAGTTGGAAATTTTGCTAAAATCTTTTCTCCAATTAAGATGCGCATCCCAATTTTTAGTGAATATAAATCCACAAAATTTCAAAAATAAAAAAATTGACTTTGGACATGAATTGGACAAAAATCTGATCAATTTTCAACTTTTTCAGTTTCAAAAAGTTTTCTTGGTACATTTGTTCCAAATTTCTCCATTATAATCAAGTGTAATGCACACATAACTTCCTAAAACTTCTTGAAAAGTTTGTACAAGCTTATGACGCTCACCCCTTCTTTTCATCTGAAATTTGAGAAAAAACGTGCGTGTGGTACTTGAGTAAATACGGTAATTCCTACATGAGAGCAAATTTGACTCACATAACAAGATTTTAAGTTTGAAGAAATACATAATTCCTACCAAGGAAAATATCCACCATAAAAAAATCAAAAAGCTATTCTGGCACATTGAAGAAAAAATAAGCTATATTTGTTGTCTATCCCAATTGTATGAAGTTCATTCCTTGGAAAGAAAAGATTTGTTGTCTCTTCCAAATTCGTTCTTGTTTGCTTTCTTGGTTCAAGTGAATTTATTTAAAAAGATTGTTCATTTTTGGTAAGATACACAACTTCTGTATTTTTAAAGAACATCATTCTGAGTAATTTGCCAGGTTGTCAACTGAAGGTATGCAAAAAAATGGCTGCTTCATCCCCATAGGTATAATTTCTAAAACCCCAAATCTGGTGTTTTTCCTTGTTTTGTACAATTGAAGTTATTTGGTGCCTGGAGGAGGAGACTTGCTGCCTCTGTTCTGAGGGCTAACTGTTGGACTGTTGCTGCCTTTTGCTCCATTAGGATGGATGGATGCTTGGTGAGTCTTGGTGTTGTTGTTGGCCCAAGTTTTTGGATCTGATAACCTTGTGTTTAAGGTTGAATACCACTTTTGCTTTAGCATATTGGCTACTGTGAGTCTCTTGAGCTCCCTGGGTTCTAGCAGACCATCCAAGACCTGGATGAAGGAAGGGGAGGACATTTTAATGAAATTTTGAAATATTTATTATCTTATTGCAAGTGAATTAAACCTTTCCTAAGTTGAATAAAGACAAGCCTCAATAAGTTGAATAACCCCCTTAGTTGAATTTTTTCAGGTCCTGTCTGAATTCCCTCAGAATTAATGCATTTAAAACCTCCCTAAGTCAAAAGCTTTTCCCCTCAAACCTCCATAAGAAGTCAAATTTTCTGTGGCCTGTTGGCTTTTATTTTCTTGAAACTAGATGAAAGAAAAAAAGCAAGAAAAACAGAAATGGATTTCTTTTAGAAGGAGGTGAGAGACTTGATTGGGCAAATGAACCCTGCCTCCAAGTTCAGGGTGTTTTAAACTCATTTAAGAAGTAATTTCAGCCTCGGAATATCACAATTTACAATTGTGAAAATTTTTTATGTTTCCCAGGGCAAAAGGGCTTTGTATTGTAGCTCAATTCAAAACTTCCCTAAGTTGAATTTTTTCCTGGTCCCTTGAAATTAAAAAAAAATTCTTGTGGGTCCCTTGAAATTCCAAAAAATTCTTTTTTATTTTGCTGGTCCCTAAAAATTTTGAAAAAAGTCATTTTGCTGGTTTCTTGAAATTTGAAAAAAGGCAATTTTTTCGCTGGTACTATATGTGTCTTGAAATCCAAAAAAAATTGAAATTCACAAAAATCGAATTTTTGTGGTGGTCTCATGAAACAAAACAAATCAAATTTTTTTCTGGTACTGTACCTTGAAATCCAATAAAAACTTGAAATTTAATTGCTGTAAATCAAATTTTTCTGCTGTGGTAAAAAATTTGAAGAGAGTCATTTTGCTGTTTTCTTGAAATTTGAAAAAAGGCAATAAAAAAAGTTTGCTGGTACTGTACCTTAAAATCCAGTAAAAACTCGAAATTTGAATACTATAAATCAAATTTTTCTTCTGTAGTCAAAAATTTGAAAAGTCATTTTGCTGGTTTCTTGAACTTTGAAAAAAGGCAATTTTTTTGCTGGTACAGTACTATGTATCTTGAAATCCAATAAAAACTTGAAATTTAAATACTGTAAATCGAATTTTTCTGCTGTGGTAAAAAATTTGAAGAGATTCATTTTGCTGTTTTCTTGAAATTTGAAACGGGCAAAAATTGTTTGCTGGTACTGTACCTTGAAATCCAAAAAAAAACTTCAAATTTAAATACTGTAAATCAAATTTTTCTGCTGTAGTAAAAAATTTGGAAAAAATTTTTGCTGGTTTCTTGAAATTTGAAAAAGGCAATTTTTTCCGCTGGTACTATGTATCTTGAAATTCAATAAAAAATTGAAATTCACGAAAATCGAATTTTCTTGCTGGTCCCTTGAAATTCGAAAAAAATGTATACAGTATTTTTTTCTTTTGTTGCTGCTGGTCCCTCAAAATCCGAATTTTTTTCTTAGAGAAGTTCAAATGAAATAAGAATTTTTTTTTAGAAAGAATTAAAATAATGTAAATTGAATTTTTCTGCTGTGGTGAAAAATTCGAGAAGAGTCATTTCTCTGGTTTCTCGAAATTTGAAAAAATGCATTTCTTCACTGATTCTGTATTTTGAAATCCAATAAAAACTTGAAATTCACAAAAATCAAATTTTCTTGCTGGTCCCTTAAAATAAAAAAAATCCCTAATTTGTTTATTCTTTTTCTGTAGCTGGTCCCTCGAAATTCGAATTCCTTTTTTTAGAGAAGTTCAACTGTAATAAGTTTGCTTATTTTTATTTTTAGAAAGAATCAACTTCATATGTACAGTATACAGTAGAATTCCGTTACAACAAATCTTGTTATAACGAATTTTTTGCTATAACGAATTTTTTCATTGGTCCCGGCAGTTTTCCTTATGTACAGTGTTATAAAAATCTTGTTTTAACGAATTTTTTCACAGAATCTCTGGTTATAGCAAATTTTTTTACGAAATTTCCAAATTTTTTCACAAAATTTTCACATTTTTTCACAAAATTTTCAAATTTTTTCACAAAATTTTCAAATTTTTTCACAAAATTTTCAAATTTTTTCACAAAATTTTCAAATTTTTTCACAAAATTTTCAAATTTTTTCACAAAATTTTCAAATTTTTTCACAAAATTTTCACATTTTTTCACAAAATTTTCACATTTTTTCACAAAATTTTCACATTTTTTCACAAAATTTTCACATTTTTTCACAAAATTTTCACATTTTTTCACAACATTTTCACATTTTTTCACAAAATTTTCAAATTTTTTCACAACATTTTCAAATTTTTTCATCAAAATTTTCAAATTTCTTGTCCCAATGCAATATATTTATATGCTCGTAATCTCACAGAAATGGCATCCATGGTGAGGTAGGCCCTGGCCGGCTTGGTCAGGCGCCAGTGCTTGGCCTCCTGGTCCAGCAGCAGCTGCTTCATGTCCGAGTCGTCAAAGGGCATGGACGCGTTGAACATGACGTAGAGCACGATGCCCAGGGACCAGGCGTCGGCCTGGCGGGCGTCGTAGGGGTCGCCGCGAATCAGCTCGGGCGCCGCGTAGGCCAGCGACCCGCAAAAGGTCTTGCTCAGCACGCGTTCCCCGTTGTCGAAGGTCTTGGTGACGAAGCCAAAGTCGCCGATCCGCACGTTCCAGTTGTTGGTGATGAGCATGTTTTCGCATTTCAGGTCCCTGCATGTGCATGCATATGTATATACAGTGTGAGACCCCCATGAGTTGATGCGCGGACATATAATTGGTGCATCAATTAAGAGTGTCCCTGCTGATGAGTCCAGTCTTGTTTTTCCCAGCATAGACTTACATTATATAATTTTCAATTGGTGTTTTAATTATGGGAGAAATATTCTTGAGAATAATTCCCTGAGAGAAAAATTTGTTTGCGACTTGAATTTGAATCAGTGAATACATTTTCAAACTCAATAAGAACATTTCTTGAGTGCATTGAATAGTGTATCTTTGTACTGTACTGTACATTGAAATGTTGACAGCATCTACAAAAATAACATTCAAGTGTAAAAAAGTCAAAGTCCCTCTAATATATATGCTGGAGGTAATTTTTTAAAATTAGCTAAATGGATGGTAAATTGGTGAGAGTATAATGCCCAACAACTTTTCTTGCATCCATTTTAAGGTTGGAAATATCAGTTTATTTTAATTTGGTCTGAAATGAATTTGCAATTTTATCACAAAGTGTCCCCATGTTGAGTCAGTGTCCTCATGTTGGGCCTTTTTTATGAATTTTTTCTGGGAAAATAAGTGTCCCTATGTTGAATTGTTCACAGGTCAAGGTGTCTGCATGTGGGGGTCTCATTGTATATATGGATGCCATATGCAGTGAAGTCTGGTTACAGCAGGAATAAATTGTACCATCAATACTCTACAACTAAACTTCCAGTGCACATTATTTATATAGACAATAATAATCAGACAAATCAATTTTTTAAAATTGAAATTAAGAGTTGAAATTATCAGCTAAAAATATAATTTTTTATTTTAACCAAATATTATCTTCTAAATTTTGTATAATTGTTATGTAGAACAATAAAAAACATTTCAGTTTTTTTTTTATTAAAAGCTAACATTATCAGCTATATACAGTGAGACCCCCCACATCCGGACACCTTGACCTGAGGACAATTCAACATAGGGATACTTATTTTCTAATGAAAAATTAATAAAATAGGCCCAACATGAGGACACTGACTCAACATAGGGACATTTTGTGACAAAACTGCAAATACATTTCAGGCCAGATTGAAAGAAACAGATCCTGTATTTCCAACCCTTAAATTGATGTAAGAAAAGCTCTTGGGCATTTCTCTCACCAATTTACCATCCATTTAGCTAATTTAAAAAATTAACCTCCAGCATAGAGGGACTTCCTTCTTTTTTCACTTGAATTTTATTTTTACGGAGAATGCCAACATTTCTATGTACTCTACAGAGGTATCAGAATTCAATTCCCCAAATTTTCAAATTGTGTTGAAATATATTGATTGAAATCAGTTTAAATTGGGATAAAATTTTTATTTTCATGGAATTATGGTGAGTATTTTGTACTTAAAACAATGAAAAAATATATAATGTGAGTCTAATGGAAAATGCGACTTAACTTAGGGACATTTTGACTTGGGGACACTCTTGAGTCTTGATGCACCAATTACTGTACTTCTGCATCTGGGGGTCTCACTGTAATTGATATAGTTTATAAATTTTAGATACAGTAATAGTGGTTGGAATGAGAAATTCTTATTTATTTTTAGCTGTTCTGACTTCTTGTTAGCTTCCTATATAACATTTGTGGAGAATAACTGCTGGTTATAATTGGAAAATTTTCACTCATCCTCATGCATTAAATTGAAAACCTATAGGTACTGTATACAAAAAAAGCTCAGTTAACCTCTTAGAACATAATCATTATGGGCCATGTTATTATTTTTTTGTAATCACACCTTTTCTATAAAAATGTCAGAGGTTGCATTCAACTGGGACAAACCTCATTTATGCAAAGGATTTATATAATAATGGATTTTGCATTACTGCACTGTTATTTTTTCTGGAACTTATATGCAGCAGTTATATTTATAGGAACCAGAATGTGTGTAATAAAAATATAATTTAAAAATGTCTTGTCACTGATGATCTCTTATTGGTACAGCATACATTTTTTTTAGAAAGATGGGACCAAAATCACCAAACTAAAGGAAAAGAATACTGTATATATGTAACCTGTGAGCAATGTCCCTGCTGTGAAGGTAGTCCACACCTTCACCCATTTGCCTGGACCAGACATTTGCTTGTTGCTCAGACAGTCGACCACATTGCATGACATAGTCCAGCAGGTCTCCATTTGGTGCATACTCCATAAAGACATAAATTCTGGAGCCATGTTCCAAGATGCTGTGCACTCCAATTAGGTTCCTGTGTCGCACCTCTGGCCAAATGCCCATTTCCCGTGGCAAGAAGCGCTCTATGTATTCCTGTATTATATGTAGGTGTTTATGTACTAGTATATATATATAGAACATCAAATTTAATATACTGCATATACAAGAAAAGAACAATTTTTGGGACAGGTTATTTTAACAGTATTGACCAAATATTTCCAAATTATTGCTGAGTAGTATATTTATTCCAATATATTTAAATTACTCTACAAATATTTCCAATTGATATATATATATATGTCCCAGAATTAATGTACAATGAGACTATGAATTTGAACTATATTATTCCAAGGTATTTTGAAGGTACAGTGTATGTAAATATATACATATCTAACTTTTATATTATATCTTCTGGTAAGTATATACTATGTTACCAGAATATAAAATACAGTACTTGATAAAGAATGTCTGCGTTATAGACTATATTACATATGACTACAGTATTTATAAAACTATAGTACAGTATTAAGAAAATATAATACCTTGTCTTACAGTTATTTGTGATTATTGTGTGTTATTACAACAAAATGAAACAATAATAACCCTCATCATTGCCTCTTATACATACATGTCCCCAAAAGTTTCTCCATGTGTTGTTCAGGGTTTAAATAAAAAGACATGCTGTCTATATTTACATCAGAAAGGATAGAACACTGATTAATGTATGCATTGAATACCCTAAATGCATTGGAATCAAATGTTTACTGCATTATTATGATTTGATTGAGAGAAATATACTTCAACTAATTTTTATATTTTGTACAGGAGAAGTCTTTCATTTGATATTATCCCACCAGAAATTGAAGAAAATCTCCTCTTCACTAAAATCTGTGCATGTAATTCTTATTACAATACTACTGTCCTTGAAGTAAATCTCACATAGTGTTCTTACATTTAGACATATCTGGTAGAATGTGGGGTAAAAAAAACAGTTGAAATGCTGTAGAAAGAATCTAAAAATAAACTGAATTGCAATGCAGCATTTTTATGTGGTTATGTTGTATTTTTACAAATCTCTGGTGAAAAATTAATAGTGCTGTGCAGTGTATGTTTTACAATAAAGATACTTTTAAAAATCTGAAAGTGTCTGATGTGATCATATATGCTGTTAAGCCATGCATAATGTGGGACCAGATTGTATGATGACTTTGATGAGAATGCTGGTGGGGCCATGTCAGTTTGTCAAGCATTTTGAATTATTTGTAAGATTGAAATATATACTGTATATATAGAGAATGTTTTGACTGTAAAAATATATGTCATGCATTCAGCAGGTTTGATGGTTTTTCACCCTCACCATGGGACATTTTGCCAGGTCAATGATTTTACAGGCAAGAACATCTCGACTTGCTACTGTTCTGAATTCTGCCATTCGAACCACTGCAAAAGAACCTTCACCAATTTTTCCTGAAAGAAAGTAACCGAGAACTGCAGTGAATTCCGAGTCTGAGACCACACCTGGATCCTCCTCTAAATTTTGTTCATTGTCTGCATTGCTGATCCCTGGGTGGATCCCTGAAGTGTTCTCCATGTTCAAAGAATGAGATTTATTGGAAAAGGTTAATAAAGAATTTATCAGAAGATTGAAGATTTATTGTGGACTTATTTCCCTTGCCTAAAAATGTTCAGTATATGTCCCCAAAGCTGGATATTCCAGGTAAATTTAAAACCTCTGTGATGACATCAGTTGTTTCCACTTTTTGTCTTACCACCACATCTTTACTGATCCTGTGTGGTTCGCTAAACTGAATCCATTTGAAAAACCGAACGCGACTTCAAGCATTGTTCGGCGTTTTAATTTTCATCCACGATTGCGGAGTTTTCACATGGGAATTGATGTTTGAATGAATGCATGTGTTGATCACTAAGAGAACGTGAAGTGCGAATCACAATTTTTTCGGAACTTCGTTGAGGTTCTTGAGTCGACGACGCTTACGGCTGCGTTTAAGGACACCTCATACTGAAGTCATTACTAGGAACTGTAACTTCTTCGAGTGTTTCGATGAGCAAAATGTCGTGTGGGAGTGTATTTTAGTTCAATAATTCGCTGAAGTGATATCAAGATAATCAGCTAGTGACGCTTACGGTTCGCTTTTTCAGTTCACTGATCTCTGGAAGACTTCCTGAACTGTTAGTGAGAATGGCTTCCGCCGACATTCTTGATTATGAGGCCGATGACATCGATATGGAGGAAGATGGGGAAGGTTAGTACACTGCATTTGCGTCTCAAACGTAGGTGTTGTTCAGGGATTTTTTTTCGTGCTGCATTGTTTTCAGGAATTTTTCGAAGGGGTATTCTCTGAGAAAATACCTGGGATGCACCCTTGGAATAAATCCACGCTATTTGGTTGACGGTTCTCATTTTCAGTAAATTTCATTCTCGATAATTCTGTTTTAGATGGTATTGTGCGGATGAAAGAGGCCGCGAAGCGCCGCAAAGGTCGTGGATTCGCGTCAGAAGGCACTACGAAGACTGAAATTAAGCACTACGAAGGAGTCGAAGCGGATGACGAAGACGATGTTGCGCAAAAATGTTGAGTTTTTGTCATTCTTCAGTGTGTTTTTGATGTTAACGTGCCGATCTGTTTTCAGCTGTTGAGGGTTGGATACTTTTCGTAAGCGGAGTTCACGAAGAAGCGTCTGACGATGAACTCCGTGACAAGTTCTCGGAATTCGGGCAGATAAAGAATTTCCATTTGAACTTGGATCGTCGTACTGGTTTTATCAAAGTATGTCTGAATTACTTGCAAGCTTCTTGTAGTTTTGAATTTGCTAGTGCGTCAGATGAGCATGTGTATCTCAGTGACTGCCCTTTTGTATGTGTGTTCAACCCTCTCGGTGCTGTGAGAAAATAACGAAACATCTCTTCAGCTTTAACAAAAAAAAAACAGAACCCGAGGATATCCTTACTGTGGAATTAAGTGTTCGTTTTAGTGTACAGAATTTAGTGCGTCATGCAGCCTTGAAATATCTAAGAATTTACTTCGAAATTTATGCCCGAGATAAAACGGAATTCACAACGTCGAGGGACTTTCCCTTTGGTAGATAGCAAAGTGGGGGAATCAATTCTGTTTCTCGAATCTTTGTCTAGTTCAAGCTCGTGAGTCTGTGCTTGTGAGGATTGTATCTCGACTTCTCTTAGTACCGTATTGAAATTCAGTGTATTTCAACGATGAAGAAGTACAGTATAACAATTTACTAAATTTCACATGCCTCTACTGAATTGACTTGCGTAACATTTTAGGAAATTCTTTCAACTTCTTTGCTTAAATCCGATATGAAGTGCTGCTCGGATAGCTTCTGTAATTATCCGTTTTTCCTGTGTTGAATTAATCTCAGGGCTACGCTTTGGTCGAGTACGAGAAACGTTCTGAAGCTGAAGCTGCTCGGGTGAACTTGGACAACACGGACATGCTTGGTCAAATCATCAGGGTAAACTGGTGTTTCGTTCAGCCTCCGAAAAAGTAAGATCTACTATCTTAATATCTAATCTATTTCTAATATTATGTATTTTGTGATTACTTACAGGGGGAAGAAAGATTTGAGGAAGCGCCGTAAATGAACCAAATTTCTCGCCGTTCAAAATTCGACGTTTTTTTGTTAACTCTCTGAACCTATGTTTTTCATTTGTCGTCGAAATGAAGTAAACGTTGTGGAATTTTTCCCTACTTCGGAGAAAAATCCTGACGAAATACGTGCGTGTATGTGTGTGTTCGACTCGGTGAAGAACTTTTAGTCGTTCTTCAGTCAATGGTGTTGAAATGACGCTCATGTTGTGCTTGATTCAGGATCCTTGTAAGTGTGAAACGATCGCGAATGCAGACTTCAGTGATGGGTTCCGTTAGAACGAATAACTCCGAGGAGAAGAAGGAAACCTTGAAAGGCAAAGAAAAAAGGTAAGCCATCGATCGTGCTTTTGTGTGATTTTCCTTGAGTGTCTTTTAAATCTTCGTTCGTGATCATAGTGAACTACGGAAACTATCGGAGGAAAGTTTAACGCGACAGCCCGAAGAAGTTTTCGACATAATATGTAAACTTGGCGAGGGGTGAGAAATTTTTTTTTGGAATAGAAACATTTTTTGAAAGCCCTGAATTCATTTTTCGTGTAGTTCTTATGGAAGTGTCTACAAGGCTCTGCACAAGGAATCCGGACAAGTGCTAGCGATCAAGCAGGTGCCTGTGGACACCGATTTGCAAGAGATTATCAAGGAAATCTCAATAATGCAACAGTGCGACTCTCCTTACATAGTCAAGTACTATGGCAGTTACTTCAAAAACACAGATCTTTGGGTGCGTGATTTTCAAATTTTTGTATTTAAACGTCTCAGTGTCCTGTGAATAATTTGCGGACTTATGATTATTTTTAATTTTGCTGAGCTGTGCGAGGGTTATTTCACAAATTTTGCCAATCCTGGGCCTCTGTTGTTGATTCTTGTTGATTTCATGAGATGGACGTGATTTTGAAAAGAGTGATACTGCAATTACTCAAGTACCATGTGCACTCAATTAAGAAGCGCACCTAGGTTTTTCAAAATTAATTTTCATAAAGTTGTATTACCGAGTAAGATGCGCATCCCATTTTTAGTGAATCTAATATTCCAATATTTTTCAAACATTCGTCTCTGAAGTTAGACATGAATTTAACCTTATTTCAATTTTTTTTTATCTGTTTCCATGAAAATATATTTTCTGATGAAAAAGATCAACAGGTCAAGTACAATGCTCACCTAAACTTCGACAATTTTTTGAAAAATTTTTACTTGCTCTTGAAGCACAATCCCCTTTTCGTTTCTCAATTGTGATAAAAAATTTGCACATGGTACCGTACTTGAATTTACTTTCACACCTCGTTTCCTCCAAAACTAATCTGTTCCTTGAATAATTACATGATGTGGAATTCTGTGATGTGAAAGGCTTTTTCCCCATTTGAGTGATTTGATTTGTTTCAGACGCTCGCAGGACTAAAATGATGAAATTTATAAAATTCGTGTTTTTTCCAGGATTGCATTTTTAATTTAAAATTGATTCATATGAAATGAAAGAAATCACGACAACTTCTTCGCTTAACTGTCTGAATTTGACGATAAGATTTAAAACTACGCTCTTATTACATCATTTCCCCATTTTAAAAAAGTTTAAATTAAAATTTGATTAAACTTTAAGCCTGTTTTGGTCGAACATTTTCCGACAAAATTTCAAGGACAAGAAATCTGTATCCTAACGCGGAGCGTATATTTGTTTTTCCTTTCAACAGATCGTGATGGAATACTGCGGTGCCGGTTCAGTGTCTGACATCATGCGATTACGAAAAAAGACTTTACAAGAAGAAGAGATAGCGACGATTTTGGCAGACGCTTTGAAAGGTTTGGAATATTTGCATCTGCGACGGAAAATCCACCGAGACATCAAAGCCGGGAACATTTTGCTCAACACAGAGGGTCATGCCAAGTTGGCGGACTTTGGAGTTGCTGGACAGTTGACAGTAAGTCTTTCCATCGGCACGAACTAAGATTTCTCCCTAATATTTTTTCTTATTACTACGTAATAAAATCAAAATAATTGCGTAATTCATCCTGGCCTAGCTTATCCTGTCGTAACCTATCTTCTATATGAGGCTTGAACTGAATTATGCGACATCTGGGTGATACAAAAAAAATATATTGCAAATATGCACTATATTGAAGTGGTTTGTTGATCATTAAGTTCTTTATGTTAAGCAAATTTCCCTTAGGTAACTATGGGACAATTTTTAATCGGTTCCAGATTTAGAAAATTGGAGTGGATTGAAGAAAATTATTCTAGAAGATTTAAAAAACTGGACAAGAATACGAAGAAAACATTTTTAAGTGATGAATTTTAATTACAATTTGTTGGGAACATGAAAAATAAAAGCTCTGAGGAAATTCAAATTCCCGCAGGATTATAATTCCATCTTTTTATTCCACTTTTTGTTTCCCATTTGGGAATCTACTGTCATAAATTCATAAAAATTTTCTTTTTAAAAATAAGTGGAGAAACAATTTTGGAGATTTTTCACTTGATCTGAGGTTGGTTCCTTGTGAAATTCGCTGCGTAAGGCGAGAAATATGCCCTAAAATGCGTTCGTTATGTAAGCCTTGTAAGGCATGCTGTGCTTTGGGCGTTCGTTGCTTGATAACTCACTGAATTAATCTTTAGAGTAAAGAATGCAGTCTTGTTTGCATTTCATTTACCGTAGCAAGTGTGGGAGGTCCTCAGACCCCAACACAAATATCAGGTTTTAGTGAAATAAGTTTATAGCACAATTGGCCGTTTGCGGCCTAAGGGTCCTGAACCCTCAACTTGTGTTTATCAGCAATGTCCAAATCCACAAATAATCTTTCCCAGCAATAAAAGTCACACAAATAAATCAGATTCATAATGTTTTTAATAAAAGATATTTCTGTTGTTATCTTGAATTGTTTGGAATTTTCGAGATATTTGTTTTTATGTACGACATGGCGTTTCCTACGCTGCGTCGTACTTTCTGTGCCTTTCCTGTTCCTGCGCTGCGGGCGACATCTAGTCGACCCGCGACAGCGAGATGAGAAACTGTTTTTTTTTTCTGAGTGATGAGTCCTGAATCAATGCCGTTTTAGACAAGTTTTTATTACTCTTGTTCGAAACTTTCTGAAGCTGTTTAACCTCAGCAAATTACACAAGATTCCAGCAGAGTAGTATTTATTTACTGTATTAACAGTCACAGAACAACTCAACACAAGACCTTGGAGAATTCCTACTGAGGATCTCTCTACACTGGTCAGCACACTAATGCCCAATTTTGGGAAGATGCTACTGGAGTTTATATACTCCAGAAAATTGGTACACAATATTGGAGTACCCGGAAGGGTACCTCCTAATTGAAGGACAGATCCGGGAGGGGAGGACGGAGTGCAAGGCTGCATCCTTCAACAAAGGTCGTTGTAATAATATATCATATTATTTAATACAGTATATTCTAACCTCGAGGATTGCACCGTCAGGAAGAGTAATTAATCTCTTCCCTTTTTCTCATCTTCTTCGTTTCACACCTGAGTCGTATATTATTTTCTACGACTCAGTTCAGAGTTGTTCTTTTCATACCACTCTTTTCTGCTCACAATTATCATCAAGTAATTTCCTGATGATAACATGTGTAAATCGCAAGTTTTTTTTTCTCTCAGGATACCATGGCCAAACGAAACACAGTGATCGGCACTCCATTTTGGATGGCACCCGAAGTGATTCAAGAGATTGGCTACGACTGCGTGGCGGACATTTGGAGCTTGGGCATTACGGCGTTGGAGATGGCGGAGGGAAAGCCGCCGTACGGAGACATCCACCCCATGCGTGCCATTTTCATGATCCCCACGAAGCCGCCGCCGTCGTTCAAGAATCCCAACAACTGGTCGTCGGAATTCATCGAATTCGTGGCGCGATGTCTGGTGAAGTCGCCGGAAGAACGCGCCACTGCCAGCGAGCTGCTCCAGCACGATTTTATCCAGGCGGCGAGGGCGCCGTCGATCCTCAGTCAAATGATCGCCGATGCCCGGGAGATCCGCGAGGCGCAAACGGGATCCTTTCTGGATCTCCTGGGCCGAAGGATCGACGTGGACGAGGAGCAGAACAACACGATGGTTCGGGGTCTCAGCGATGGAACGCTGGTGCCTGGCGGCGGCGGCACGTTGCGAGGCGGCAGTGAGCACGTGTATGAGAATTTCCCGATTCGCGGCAAGGCGGTCGTGGTATCGTCTTCGAGGGATGACGACGCCACGATGCGAGCGCCACGAAGCGGCGGCGGCGTGGATGAAGTGGAGTCTAACCTGGGTACAATGGTGATTAATGAAGATGACGACGAGTCGAGGAATGGGGACGAGCGCGGCGGCGGAATGGGGACTGACCAGGATGACGAGGAAGAATCTACCATGAAACGTATGTTTTTTTTTTTTTTCTTTTTTTCAATCGTGTAATTCTCTTTTTTATTTTGTCGAATTTCTTGATGATGTTGGTGGACGTGCCTCATCGCATTCTGAAAAGAAAACAAAAAACAAAAAATAGAGTGATTATCCGGATGATGGACGCTTCGCAGAATGAACTTGATCTGCGACATATTCTTGCTTTGGATAGTAGACTGATCATCCTTGAATAAAATTGAACGTCGCTTTTTGAACTTTGCTCCTAGAAAAATTGGATAAAGATTAAGTTTGAGAAGAAGCATGCGCGTGATATTCAAGTAAATACGGTAAATCCGAATTTAAATTTTAACTTGAACTGTGGTCAAATTGAGTGTTGATTCTCCGCTGTTACCATTTTTAAAAAAATTGTCCGCTCAAATTCGTCCTGAATTCCCTGTTTGAGATCTTTAAAAGAAATTTCTACATTTTGCACATGACGCGAACCCCTTTTTTTTACGCAAAAAGTTACTTGAGTAATATGGTATCCATTCTGTGTAGCTTGGTTCAGGATTTTTTATTTTTATTTTTTGCCCATGAACTTCTTATTGGAACGGAATCAAGTCCACTATTTTTTATGAGTAGGGGTTTGAAGTAAATTGAATTTGTGCGGCTTCTTTTTTTTTTTTTTGACGAGGTTCGTTTCTTTTCGTGTAGGACACTCAACCGGTGACACGGACAAGCGACCCCGACCCTTTTTCCTGGAGCACTTTGACAAGAAGGACGCCGCCGAGGCGTTGCGGAAGCTGGACGCGGACCGAGAAATGACGGCGGAAGAGCAGAAGGCATTCCAGAGCCAGCTGCAGAAGCAGTTGCGCGAGATCTCGCAGCCGACGGCCAATTCCGCCGCTGCCACCGGGGGCTGCGTGCATCAGCAGCAGCACCTCTACAACAACAACCACGGTCTGCTGCAGCAGCAGCAGCAGCATCATCAGTCCGGATGCAGCAGCCCGTGTCACCCGCAGCAGGGCAAGGTTGTCAGCGACGGGCATTACGCCAATGTGCCGCCGATCCCGCCGCCGGCAGACACGCGTCCACCGCCGCGATACCAACACGATATCGAATTTGTGAGTTTTTTTTATCGTTTCCGGGAGAATTGTTCAAACTCAGAGCCAATATTCTTCTATTTTTGGACGCAACAGAAAAAATGATGTTTGTGACTCTTTCGGAAAAATCTCTTGTGGAAGGATTGGAAGAAGAAATTATCGTTTCAAATGAGCTCGTTCCATACTGCACGTGTCCAGAATAGCAAAAATTAGAAAAATACCAAATTGGCTTCAAGTTCCACTCGCACCTTTTTCTCAAAAGTTATGCTTGTAACGCGCGTCATACTTGAGTGAAAATTCAATTCCGCAAAATTTTTAAATGTTTGGTGCGCTTCCTACTTTCAACGCGTTCGAATGAGTTCTAAAGTTTTAACGTTTTTTCCTATCGAAAAGTGTTGTTCTGCCGATTTATTGACGCGCATCAATTAAACAAAATTGCAGAAAAAGCGATCTCTTGATTGTGACGCGTGCACCCTTTTTTTTTTTAGTTTTATGTTGGAGGGAAAAGGTGCGAGTGGGAATTGAAGTAGATCTGAGATTTTTGTACCCTCCCCTAGATACGAGGGTTCTAACAAAAGTTCTCGGAGTAGCGATGAAAATGGCCTACAGTTGAGCTGAAAAATTTTTTTTTCCTCAGGGAAAACATATTCTTTGGCACACAAAAAAGTATCAGCCCTGTTTGACGAATTTTTTTGAATTTTTTTCATAATTCACCCTGGCAGAGTTTTGCTCTCCACTCAAAACATGAGGCGCCCTTTTTTGTTGTAGGCCAGCTTTCCCTTCAGAATTTTTGAAATCAACTTGACATTCTTTCTAAGGGTTGCCTCCAGGTCATCCAAGACAATTCCGCCTTTTTCATCAACAGCCGCCTTCACAGCCACCACATTGGCCGCCACTTTGGCGGCTGTGAAGGCTGCTGTTGATGAAAATGGCGGAATTGACTTTGAAGATCTGGAGGCAACTCTTAGAAATAATGTCAAGTTGATTTAAAAAATTCTGCAGGGAAAGCTGGGCTACAACAAAAAAGGGCGCCTCATCTTTTGAGTGGAGAGCAAAATTCTGCCAGATTGAGTTATGAAAAAAATTCAAAAAAATTTGTCAAACAGGGCTGTATGCCAAAGAATATGTTTTTCCTAAAGAAAAACTATTCTTCAGCACAACTGTAGGCCATTTTCATCGCTACTCCTAGAACTTTTGTTAGAACCCTCGTATGTGCCTTCGAAAATTTAAAAAATGCAGTGCAATATATTTTTGCATAATTTCGCAATGCATATACATTTTTTTTTTTTGCGCCACGATTTTTTAGTTGAGCTATTTGACGTACGAAGACCTGGAAGTCCGCATGCAGGCCCTGGACGGCGAGATGGAACAAGAAATTGACGAACTCCGACGCCGATATCAAGCCAAACGCCAACCCATACTCGACGCCATGGACCAGAAGCGCAAGCGGCAACAAAACTTCTGACGCCGCTGGTCCTCGTTTTTTTTCTGCGGAAAAGAAAAAAAAAAAGTAATTCCCGCTGCTGTGCTACTGTGTGTGATGACCGAGCTACCCTTCAGAAAAATCGTACCTTTTCTTCTTATTTTCTGTTGTTTGTATTTCGAACTTCTTTTTTTTTCAGCATCGTCGAAAGGCAAGTGGAACACAAGTTTCATCTTCTTCTTCTCCGTATCTTTTCGAGGGTTGTTTGATGAATTTTGTCAGTCCCGTGCTTCCAAAGTTTGATTCTGAGTAATTTTTTTTTTTCGACGGAGTAAAGCTTGCTTCATTTCATACACGTTATCAATGCAGTAAAATTCCAGATCTCGTTGAAACGAATTTTCTTGTTTGTCCCATCAGTTTCTCCGTGGGCGCCGTGTTTTAAAAATTTCGTTTTAACCAACTCATTTTAGGCTGTTATCTCGGTATAACGACAGGTCTTGAATCATCTGTTGCAGAAGCACTTTGCGATACCGTATTCCTCACCCATTTCCCACAAGATATCGTTCTAAAATGTTTTTAAAACTATGAATCTTGATGCAAAAAAATTATCATGCCCGTGGGAGTACGTTGTAACTAGATTTTATTCAACTTTGAATCCATACGAGTTTTTACTGAGTAAATTTGAATTGGCAAAATGAAAATATACCCCTTTCTTGGCAGAAATGCAGCATCTTTGAAAATTCGCACATGTCAAGGTGCTGCGGGATATTCTAAACGTATTCAAAGATTTTCCTTATTCACAGGGTTTCGAATTTGACAGCGTTTTCCCCTTGAGAATGTGTTCTAATCTTGATAATTTTTAAAGTAGTGGAGGAAACAGTTAATCTTAAATTTAGATTTCTTAGCCGAAAATTGAGGCTGCAATTGTAAAAATGTTAGCAGATGATTTTCTTCTTTATTTTTGGAAGCACGGTGAATTCAAGGCACTTTAACCAACTGTCAATTTTCATGAACCACCCCTTTTAATGGAAAAATTTTTTTTTTTTGGAAAAATTTAAACGAGAAAATATGATTTGAATGCTGTGACGCCGATTGCTCCTGGTTCTGAAAAGCAATATTTAATTGTATCGTGTTGTCATTGTTTTTCTGCCGTTTTACATCAGGCACACGTCTCACTAATATAATCAAAAAATTCTACTATCAAAGAAATTTTTATATTCGAACATTTTTTGAAAAACACTTTGGAATTTTTTCAAAAATTCTGTCGTTACGCTAAAATCCGGCGAATTTCGGATCAGTAATAAAACCTACTTTCAATTCAATTTTTCACGCAAGAAATTCAATTTCAGTCATGATTCGCAACATTTGTTTGCTAATCAAATTAACGTCTTTGTAAAAATTTCGCATTCAAAATTCTCATGATCAGAAAATCGTTTCCATGAGAAACCGGTTCTTAGACCTGCGAGGATTTCTTCGAAAAGATTTTCAAATCATTCGCAATACTTCACAGCACCAATTTTAATGGAAATTTGGAAGGGAACGTGATTTCTTTTCAGTGATTCTCAGCATTTTCAACACTTCTCTTCGATTCCCTTAAAACTGAGTCGGCAAAAATTGAAACAATCGTCTCAAAACGACGAAAAATTCTTCTCGAAATCACGTGCATCTTCAGAAAATTCTCCAAGAGTGACAAAGCCTTTGAACAAACTCTCTTTCTAATTAATCATTAAAAAAAATCCCACTGATTTCGTAACTCTTTCTGAAGTAATTTGAAAAAAAGTTTACGACAACAATTTTACATATTCGAAGAGCTTTTCTTCTCTTTAAAAAATCCTGGGTGGTTACGAATGAACTTGCGAAAAAATTGCCAGCCAGTTCCCTGAAAAATTTCCGATCTCTCCAAAAACACCCGACAAAAAGGAACAGAAAACCGGGATGCGATAAAAAATACATGTACGCGTGATAAAGACACGGAAGGAGTCCCGGAATTCATAATTACCGGCAATAAAGTAAAATATACAAAGTAATAAAATGAAAACATAGGAGACTCCAATCCCTTGTTTGTTCGCTGGAAAAAAAGCGAAGGAAGCACCAGTGGATTCCATTCATACGTCACACATGAATGAATGAATGCCTCGATTTGTATCCAGAAAAAAAATCGAATGTGCCGGAAAAAAAACATACACACACACACACTCAAATTATCAAACCGACAATTCTTTTCTTTTTTTGCGCGGGGAAAAAATCATAAAACATCAAGACTTGATCATCGTCCAAAAAAAAGGAAGATTGGATTTTCAAAAAGCGAATAAAAACTCGAATGAAACCAAGTGAAAAATTGTAATGGAAAACTCAACTTGGTGAGTCACACCAAGAAAAAAAAAAAAAAAAAAAAATTTTTTTTTTTTTTTTTTTTTTTTTTTTTTTTAGTTTGGTGTCTTTGAAACCTGTGTACATTACTTGGAAATGAAGTTGTTTGCATCCCATTCTTGGCACCATTCCGTAGGGCTTCGTGGGAACTGAACGCTATCGAGAATCCAGCTCGGAAATAATTCTTTTGCATGGACCCGATTTTTCATTTTATACCTTTCACGCATGGTTGCCACTTTATAACCTTGTCAATTGACGAGTTCAATTTTGAACGCTTTTAATTAAATTTCCAGATAATCTGAGCTTTTGTGAATGATCCGTTGGAGTATAAATATTACCCTCTTTTTGATGATTGCTAAAGTTTTCTGCGTTCGGGAAATACACATTTCTTCCTTTTTTTTTAATGCATTCCATGAACATTTCGTTGTAAAGATAAATTTCCATGATATTCTCAGTACAGTATGTATAGCAAATTTTTGCCTTGATCATGTGTGCGATTTTTTACAAATTGGCAGAATATGGGAAAACCAACTTTTTCATAATTGAAAAACCGTGAAAAATATAAATTGTGATCTTTTCTTAACGTGCAATCTTTTTGTGTTGAAAATTACATATTTTCATGCAGAAAATTCATCATTGCAAGAAGTATGAAGCTCTAATTTTTCAAGTGATTTTAGGAAATTTTGAGATGGAGAATTTCTGAAATACTATAATTATGAAGTATATCAAAAGTTGAGTTTTCTATATGATTTTGTCCAAAGAAGTTATGAATGATGATAATTCATCCCACATTTGTTGTGGAAGTACAGTACTTTACAGCATCTTTTTGAAACTGTTTCCCCATGAAATTGCAATCCTGCATATTCGAAGAATTAATTGAATGTCGAAATACGGCGAATTTGTTCTTGGGTCCCTGGGAGTTCGTTGTAACGAGATTTTTACTCTAACAGTACGTATTTGATTACAGAGTGGGAGAACGTCGAGTTTGTTGGCGCCGATCATGCTTCTCTCTGGACACGGCGGGGAAATCTTCAGTGGGAAATTTCACCCGGATGGCGAATTCCTGGTATCTGCAGGCATGGACCGAGACATTCTCATCTGGAAAGTTTACGGGGAGTGCGAAAATATCCACGTCATGAGCGGGCATTCCGGGGCTGTCTTGGATTTGCAAGTGAGCAGCCTCTTTTTTTCGTCGATGCCAATGTTCGGAAATTCGGAAAATTTTGTTTTCGTATACTGTTCATTTTTTTTATGGTGACTTTTCTTCTGGAGATTATTATCGTCATTTACTCGAGTACGACGCTCACCTTTTTTTCTCAAAATTCCGTGGGGGAAAAAAGGGATTGCGTTATAAACGGCGATACATTTTTTTTTAAGTTGTAGAAGTTTAGGTGTGCATTATATTCGATTCTGATGAGGCATTTTGGATCAAGTTCAACAGAAAAACTTTTTGTAATGGAAATAATTAAAATTGGTTGAATTCTAGATTAATTCGTGTCTTACTTCAAATTTGGATTTTATCATTTTTTTAAATACAGTATTGCTGTTTTAAAGTTAGTAAAAATGGGGTCGGAGATAAAATTTTTTCAATGAGCTTGAGTAAATACGGTATTTTTAATTCAATGAACCGGCGAAAAATCAACGAATACGAGCAATGTTTTAATGATTTGAATGACGCCTAGGTTTGTTTTATGGTGGAAGTATGTGGCTATTTGATGAAGATGATCAAAATTTTTTTTTTCCACCCAAGAAATATCGTAGTTGTTGGAATTGATTTCTTTGGCATTTCAACGTGAAAAATCGATGGAATTTTATTTTGTGTGTGGCATCATTGCAGTTGTCGACTGACGGGGAACGCGTGTACACGGCGTCGACTGACAAGACCGTCGGGATCTGGGACCTCGTCGAAGGAAGAAGAGTGAAGCGGATCAAGGCCCACGGGGGTTTCGTCAATTCTGTCTGTGCGGCGCGACGGGGGCCGCCACTGCTCGTCACTGGCTCTGACGACGGCACTGTCAAGGTATCCATTCCGTGTTGTTTTTTTTTGCGTCAAAAAAAACGTGACCTCGTCTTTTCTGTGCGATTATTTTTTGCTACTGTATTTTTCGACTTGCTTTGCGATTTTTTTTTCGGCATTGGGGTTAGTTCGTGAAGTGCAAAATTTTATCAAAAGCCCAAGAGATACACGTTCAAGGACAAGTTATGCTATTGCCCGGGTTGTTGATATATTAGCAAGGAAAAATCTGTTTTTTTTTCGAACTTGAAAAAAATAAGAGACTCAGGATTTTTACCGTATTTACAAATTTACGCAACCCCTAGGGGTTACGCAACCCCCAACCCCCCCCCCCCCCCCCCCCCAGATTTCTTCCATGCGCAAATTGAAAATTTCGATAAATTGGGGAATTTAAGCATCCACTCTTGTTGTTCCTTGCTCCCACTTCAGCGCATTCCGAAAATGTAATTGTTGGCCATTTTTTTCGGAAGGAACTTTGTTGACATGAACAAGGATTTAATTTGAGAAAATTTCGCGAAAAAAAAACTGGGTGGTTAATAGAGTTAAATCGCGTTGGAACAAATACCGTTACAATAAATGTTCAACAGATTCTCCAGGGAGAAAATTCCTGTCTAAAGCACGCACAGTCTGAAATTTCTGATCCCAAATTTGACTGACTGGTTCTTTTTAGCGTGGATGGAAGTTGTAATCAATGATGAATGTGTTTCCAAGTGGCTCTATGCAATGATCTCCCAAGATGAAAATATTGGTGCTTTTTTTTCAGAAGATCACTCAGTTTTTCAAACAATGATAAAAAAATCTGGAAATGCCAGAAAAGCAAGATATAATTTATTACAGGCAGGTCTGACGTGAGCATTGTTTCAAGTCAATAATTTTGAAGGAAAAAAAAAACGCCATGACAAATTATCCAGTAAAACACACTTTTTCTGAAGTCCCCCGAGAAGCGTGTTGTGACGAGATTTTACTGTATTCCCTTGAATTGGGACAGGTGTGGGACACGCGTCGTCGTGGAGAACTGCACACGCTTCCCGGCGCCGGCTTCCCGATCACGTCCGTCTCGTTCACCGACACGGCGGAATCCGTCCTCACTGGCGGCACGGACAACGAAATCCGGTGTTGGGACTTGCGGCGCCTCGCGACCCCGTCCCTCCAACTCCGCGGACACACGGACACGGTGACGTCGCTGTGCCTGAGCCCGGCGAAATGCAGCGGCGCCCACGTGGCGTCCAACGCCATGGACAACACGATCCGGGTCTGGGATGTGCGGCCGTATTTCAAGGGCGACGGCACGCGATGCACGACGGCGTTGACTGGGCATCAGCACAATTTTGAGCAGAATTTGATCAAGGTGGCGTGGTCGCCGGATGGGCGGCGGGTCGCCAGTGGGTCCGCCGACCGGTGCGTGCATATTTGGGACGTGACGAGCGGACGCCTCATTTATCGCCTGCCTGGGCACAATGGGAGTGTGAATGACGTGCAATTCCACCCGAACGAACCGATCAGTGAGCTTTTCTTTTATTTTATATGTTTAGGTTTGTAGCAGTTGAACCTCTGTAAGTCGAATTTCTGGGGACCAGGAAAAAAATTTGACTTGAGGAGGTTTTGATTTTTGGAGCTTTCCACTTGAGGAAACGAACACTTTTGTTGTGAGGAGAAGTGAAAAAAGTGTGAGAAATCATAAATGAGGATATTCTGGGCCTTCACTTGCTCCTGAATGAGTTTTCACCTTGCTGAACTTGGAGAACAGGGGTTCATTTGTTATATTTGTCTTTCACTTCCTTTCAAGATGCATCAAATTATTTGTTTCAATCATTTTCTCTTCCATATTTCAAGGAAATAATAACAAGAAGGTCTGAGAAAATTTGACTTACAGAGGTTTTAGCAAAAAAGATTTTGAGTTGGGGAGGTTTTTAATTCATTGATTCTAAAGGAATTCAGACAGGGACTTGGAAAAAATTCGACTTAGGGAGGTTCAACTTATCAAGGTTCACCTGAAATGCTTCTCTTGGTTTTTCTTTCAATAAATGAGTTATAGTAGAAGATTATCCTCGATAACTCGAACCTCCCCAAGTCAAACACGGTACCTCCCTAACGTATTTGAGAAGTATTTGACAGAGACTTGAAAAAAAATGCGATATAGGGAGATTTTGGAACTGGGAAAGTTCGAGTTTAAAAGGTTCGACGGTATTGCGTACATAATTTTTTTTAGCATTTTTTAATGTACCGCTAATTCACTGGAAGTACAATTGAAAAAAGGCGAAGTCTGCCAGTGACATCTACCCGCGTTAAGGTACTTGATGGTTGGAACGTATTGAAAACGTAACAGTTTACTTGGATGTGTATTTGAAAATGTTATCCACTTGGAGCGTTTGTCAGTTTTTTTGTGAGCCTTTCGGATTCTGTTTTGTCTATGCATTTCGTTTCATGTCGGGAATCTTCATGATTTTCCTTTTTCTTCTTTGTTTCAGTCATGTCGGTTGGCAGCGACAAGCAAATCTACCTCGGTGAGATTGAGTCTTGATGGATGCTGGAAATGCCGTTTTTTTACATATGCTGCGATCACGTTTCTCGGATCTTCGTCATGTTCGTTTTTTTTTTTTTGGTCTTGAAAATGACTTGAATTGAAAAATGTGTTCGAAATCGTCGGGTTTTCTTGGATGAATTCATGTGAGAGAGAAAGTGAAAGAAATTTAATAATGGTTGATTGTGCATCATCAGGGACTGAAACATTCTCGACGAATTCGTAATTCTCAGTGCAGTGAGTGCGAGTAAATTTTTTTTTAATTTCGGTGAGGATGTGGGAAGATATTCCGCGCTCGCCGTTCATGAACGTCTTCGACAATCGTGGAATGATGTTGCCCTACGATTGTTTGCCGGGTCCCTTGGATCCGCCTCACCAGGCCAAGTTGGCCAGGCACTTTTTGCTTCATATCCCGAGGGTTATTCCGGATCAGAAGGGACGGTTTGATGGGGACGACATCTTCAAGAAGCTGGGCAGAGAGGCTGAGGTGAGCGAACTATGAATCCCTCAATGTTCACTCAAATGTGGGGGGAAAAATAAGTACCTTCACTAATTTTGAGGCTCGGTTTTTGATGCCTTTTTGGGCATCAGAAATGGACTGCTATTTGTAAGATTTTTTTTCACGACGTCCGATTTCTTCAGAATGAAGCCATTTTGTTTCTCTCATGCTTCAGTTGAAAAAAAAAATAACTTGGACTTTTTTCAAACATTTCTGGAAATCTAAATTCTTCGCTCTTGAACAGAAAATACGATAGTAAATATTTCAACGATTGAACTCCAGTTTTTCGAACGGTTTACATGCATATTTTTTTGGATCATTTTATGTCTCCCCGCCATTTTTATACAATTTTCCTTTTAGCCAATTTAAATTGCGGAGGAAAAAAAGCCATTCTTCTTAATAGGTACGAAGACTTCAACGAAGATCAGGGGACAAAAAAAAATTCCGTGTACAGAGAAAATCGTTTTAGAGAGAGAAAGTTTATCTGTATTCGGGACTTCGAATTGATGAATTTTAAATTTCGGCTTGTTCGAGTGAAATGAAGTAACCCGAACCGTGCTGCTTAATTCGATTAAATCCTGCATTGGCAGTTTAAAGTTCAGAAAGGACAATTGCTAAAAATTTGCATAATTTTTCAAGGAGTTTAATTTTTGGATCTATACGGGAGCTGGAAAAATGTTTTCGACAAAGCTGGACGATGATGATGAAGCACAATGAGAAGTGAACCTTCCGACAGGAAAAAAAAATAATGTGGAATTATTTAAACTTGAAGGCTGAAATTCTTTTTGCAGGTCAGGTACACTGGATATCGTGACAGACCGATCGAAGAACGAAGAGCTCGGTTCCAGAATGGCGTCAGGGATGGACACACTGAGTTGGTGAGTATCTACAGTACTTTAGTTCTTGAACAATGCGTGATATTTCATTTGTAATAAATCATTTTTTTTAACCTTTGTGTGAGCTGGGAGGCTGAATGAAAACGCTGAGAACGTTAGAAAAAAAAACATTATTGCGTCGTTGAATCGATCGTGTGATTAATTTTACGAAACATTTTTTTTTTATTCCTTTTTACGTTTCCGAAGACTTTCTTGGGATCTGGTGTGAATTTCCAGCTGATCTTCACCCCGACTGCAAATGCTTTCCCTGGACCACATGCTCCTCTTATGCACGGACCTCCTGCGGATTTCGATTCTGAGCCTGGAAAGGTAAATTGCAAACTGCGCCAAATTTTTTTTTTTGTGAATCGAGATTTTCTTCATATCGTTGGCGATTCTGTGAACGATTTTCTCAACTACATTGCCGAAAGTTGCTTTCTGAAATGTCTGGTAGGTTTCGCCTGAAAGAATTTTGACAAAGACGTAATGAAGAAAGAGTTTCAAGTGGCTAAATTGACTTCATTTTTAGAAGCAGAGACTTCTTCAATGCTGGAAAATTGAATGTGCGGTTTATTTAATGTGGAAATCATTGTACAATTAAATATCTTTCAACAAACGATTTTTGGGGGCACGAAAATACAATAAATTCGTTTCAACAAAAAATTAGTTATGAAGTAACTCATTTAAAATTTTTGGTATTTGAAAGGGGATACACACAAATCAAGACAGACAATTCAAGACTGGACAAATGGAAACAGAAAATTTGAGACAGGGCCAATTGGAGACAAGGATAATTTGAGGCAAAGAAATTTTGAGACAGGGACAAATAGAGACAAAAACTATCTTGATGAGGAGAGCAATCTTTGGTTGGTTCAAAGGTTTGAGTTTTTCCTTGACGAGGAAAACTCACTTGACAGTGATGATGGACAAAAAGGCTAAGCACCCTGGTATCATGGACTTTTCACCAAACAGTGCGATTTTTGTTCATTTTTGCGCCTTAAACATAAGATAATAGGGAGAAACACAGTCAAGTCATTTTGTCTCAATATATCTGTCTCGAACTTTCAAATTCTCAAAATGTGTTTGTCTCAATTTTTCCACGTATAAAAAGTTTTGGTCTAAAATTGTCCTCATCTCCAAAAGTTTCTGTCTCAAATTGTCCTTGTCTCAATTTGGCCCTGTCTCCATTAGATCTTATCTCAAATTGGCCCTGTCTCAATTTGTCCTTGACTCATTGGAAAGGGACCAATTGGAAGTTGTTATAAAAAGATTTGTTTTGAAGAGTTCTATTGTATGTATGTATGTATAAAATACTATCGAAGTCCTCGAGTCCTACTCATAAAGTTGCATGTTTGGTACTTTGTTTTCTAGAAATGGTACTGGAACAAAGTCTGGTAATATCCAGAAAACTGTTGCAAGTCTCTTTTCATAAGTAAACCTAACTTGGCGAAGTGGAACATAATTTAAACTCTTTGATTGTGAGATTCAAACGATTCCAGTGACACCTATGTGAAAGCAAGGAAAATTCAGAGATCGTTTGGAAATTTAAGTAAAAACAACCCCATGATTAAGCACTTTTGAATTATTGACATTTTTCATTCGACCCATTAAAAAATAAATTGAATTATAATTGATTTTGTTGTTTCTTCAAAGGTGCACATCAATGCTGGGATCATCCTGAACGGTGTCTGTGTGAGATGGAAAGGTTGGGTCGACTTGGAACGATTGGACGGTTCGGGTTCGCTGGACTTCGACGAGCAAAGCGCTGAGGTGTCATGTTTTGAAAAATGTGTTTAATCATTTTTGTGAAAGAAAAAGATGACTCAAGTTATTACCTGTATCAGAAAAAACAAACGTGTGAATGTTTTTAAATTTATATTCAGTTTCTTTCAAGGTTTAACCGTTTATTATTCAGGAAGCTTTGTTCGTAGCGTAAGGAGATTTAAATGTGGCTGTGTTATTCGATCAGAAAATCAAGTTTGCCTAAAGAAATTAATTTCCATGTACTGTACAGTACTGTAATAACAAAACTGTCAAAGCATCATTCGCTCTAGAATTATGCGAATATTGAAAGCAAAATTAAAATTAGGAAACAAGGTTTGCCTTATTGCATCAATAATTATAGAACACACCCTAGAACAAAATTCGCTAGTGTCTTTATTGGAAAACTAGTGCGAAAAAATCTCGTTGCAACAAAACTTGTGGGGACTTGAGAAAAAGTTTGTTATAAGAGATAATTTTTTATTCTGAGATTTTCAAAATTTTTGATCTATGGGAAGATTTAAAAAATTAAACTTGCATATGTATTCAACAGCTTCCTTCTTTGACCTTTCAAATGTTTTTCAGTGTTTAAAAAATAAGTCCGCACATGCGACGTATCTCGTTATAACGAATTCGTCGGGACCAGCGAAATCGCTTCGTTGTAAATAGCAAAAATTCGTTATAAAAGAACTGTTGCAATGTTATGTTTATTGGGCCGGGACCTAAAACCCAATGTCGTTGTAATCGAAAATTTGTTACAACGAGGAGATTCTGCCGTTATTGTTTTTTTGTTCGTTCTTTTTTTAAGGCTCGAGTTTTCAAAGTTCAATTGTGAATTTCGCTTGCTTCACATTCCCTGTCTGATTTTCATGTATGATTTCAATATTTTTTTTTATCAATAGCGTGAAGATGCGTTGCTGAAGGAACAAGTGAGGCACTACAATCAGAGAATCCAGGGGTTCGACGACAGGTTTCATCCCGGCCACCCCATGCACCATCATCACCACCATCACCCGGGTGCTGTGCACCCAGCATTTCCAGCCCATCATCACATTCGTGACTGACATTCCCTGGTGATGGGATAATGATAATGATGGGAAATAAACAATGCATGATGCATTACCGTACAGTACCCTGTTCCAGCTAGAGGGCGCTGATGTTGGATGGTTTCTATGCTTTCAAAAGTACTGTTATGTTCTTCTTGCTTTGTTTTGCATCACAGTTGGTTGTGAATTACTTGTATTGTGTTGTAGTATATATACTGCTGTATTTCCATGATGTGTATCAAGTGTATGTTGTTTTTGTCTGTGAAATGAGACCGTTATTATACATGATCTGTTTGTATGACGATTTCATTTTATTTATTCTTTACACTTGTCTGGTTTGAGCTGAATTGAAATACTGTATTGTATCCAGCAACTAATTTGAACATTTTTATGGTGCTTTCAATTGCAGGTGATGAGTGTGAATCAAGTGAGGATTATAATGGAATTGGAATACAGTCTAGCCTCAATTTAGTGCCACCATTCCTCCTGGCATATTTTTTGGCACTAAGTTCAGGGAATTATAAGAGAGGGGATTACTTGAGGGTTTCTGTTGTATGAAAAATAAGATTGTTTACAGAATGCTCATGCCACCCCTGCTTTTTTTTTTAGAGAAAAAGTCATGCCATATTATGTCTATAGTGAAAGAGGAGAGCTGTTTGTTGAAGTATTTTTTGAGGTTGAGTTTTTATAAAGCGCCAATGCTTGTGAAGGAATCACCAGTGTTTTCACAAAAGCTTACACATCCTTCTCAAATTTCAATGAAGAAAGTGGTTATATACTGTACAGGTGAACCTTGATTAAGTCAAACCTCCCTAGTCAAATTTTGTTCAAGTCCCTGTCTAAAATCCCTTAGAATCAATGCAGTAAAAACCTCCCCAACTAAAAATATACAAGTACAACAAAAAGGTTTTTTCAGAACTGTGAATTTGAAAATTGAATGTTTTTCAAAATTATCCAAAATTTCATGTGGGCATGGGGATGTGATTTTCAGTTGTTACCTGTTATGCAACAGCTAAATTAATTTGATTATCTGAGGTGGCTTGATGGTACCCTCCATTGATAGCTTTGTTTTAATTGTTGAATAATAACTGCAGAACATTGGGATTAAGATAATTTGAGACTGGGGCTCATTCCCCTTTAAGGAATACAGTGAGACCCCAAGATGCAGATATAATTGGTGCATCAAGAGTGCCCCCAAGTTGAAATGTCCCTAAGTCAAGTCTTGTTTTCCTATAGACTTACATAATATAGTTTTTAATTGGTGTTTTGTGGAAGAAATATTCTTCAGAATTCCCTGAAAAAAATTGTTTACAACTTGAATTTGAATTAGAGAAATATCTGTTTCTTGTAATTTGGCCTAAAATGTATTTGCAATTTTATCACAAAATGTCCCTATGTTGAGTCAGTGTCCTCGTGTTGGGCCTTATTTATTGAATTTTTCTGTGAAAATAAGTGTCCGTATGTCAAATTGTCCGCAGGTTGAGGTGTCCGCATGTGGGATCTCACTTCAGGTATTCCAAATCAAATCTATATACTGTACTGTACTTCCCTTGACAGACGTTGCTTTCATATATCAGCTTACACAGTTGAACCCCACCCAACAGACCTCCTGCACAACATTTTTTTGCACACTACTGACTGCCTCTGGAGTCAGTTTTCTGTCCTGTGCAACAGACCAAATTTGCATGACAGACTTTATGGTTTCCACTGCTGGGAGATGTGCATCCCTCACATCATCCCCCTTCCTTCCAAACTTAATTTAAGTAAAAAAAAAATGTCATTTTCATTGGTGTGAATGTGTGTGTGTTGCTGTTTTAAGCTCTTGGTTGTAATCTTGCTTTTTTTGCATAAGTGTTATTGCAGATATGAAAAGTGAATATGTCCAACAAGAGTGGCAAAAAAAGGAAACTCATCACTCTGGATGAGAAAAGAGTGATGATTCAAAGAATTGGAAGTGGTGAAAAACAGACTGATGTGGCAAAGGAGTATGGACTGTCCAAGCAAAGCATCAATTCAATCTGGACAAACAGGGAAAAAATCATGGCTGCTTGTGAGACCACTGGCAAAGGTGTCTCAAGAATCCACAACAAAAGGCATAGACATCCAGTGATGGATGAAGTGGAGAAGCTTCTCCTCCTGTGGATAGAAGACATGCAAATGAGAGGGGATCCATTGTCTGGGGAGCACATCTGTAGCAAGGCCAGGCAAATATATGAGGAAATCATCAAGGATTATCCTGGAGAAAGCTGTGATTATGATCATGAAGAAGAGGAAGAGGAAAAGAGGAAAGGTTTCAGAGGTTAGTACTTCAAACACATTGAGTGATCTTTTAGTGAAAATATTAAAATCATGAAATTCTCTTGATTTCAGCTAGCAATGGCTGGTTCTACAGATTTTTAAAAAGGACTGGAATCAGGACTGACAAAATGACAGGAGAAGAAGGGGATCTGCTGCCAATAATAGCCTGCCAATGTGTACTGGATGATGATGATGGAGAGGACAACAAGGAAATGCTTGCTGAAATTGTTGCCACTGCCAGAAATCTGAACATGGATGTGGATGAAGAAGATCTTACAGAACTTGTTGAAGAAAATGCTGAACATCTGAGTGTGGAAGATCTCAGGGAAATGGCTGCCATGAAAGAAAATGAAGAACAAGGATTGCCTAAAACACAGCAGGAGGTTCCCATCAAAACAGCTGACATTGAGCAATTTTTGAAAGGATGGGAAAGAGTTCAAGATTTCAGCATGAAGCACCATCCCAAGAAGCTTGAAGTGAAGCAAGTTCTGGATGCTGTGGATGATCTTTGTGGTGGATATTTCCGCAGCCTAATGAAAAGCAGGAAAATGAAGCAGACCAACATAAAAAATTTCTTCTCTCCTCCTAGAGCTGGGCCATCAGGTGCTACACCTACTGGGCCATCAGCAGGTGCCCAAGCTGGGCCATCAAGAGACCAAAACCTGTTCAAACGTCATGTTGGCAATGACTCTGACTAAGCACTGTATTTTTAAAATGTTTTTCATATTTTTGAGAATGACTGAGTATATATATGACATATGGGCTTCCTTCTTTCCTGTTTTGGAAGTGCATAAAGCTCAGGTTTGATTCAATTAAAAAATGGCTGTGTTTCTGATTTTTCCACAAATTTTTTTTCTACTTATTAAAAAGAAAAGTAAATTAAAACCTATATAAACTGTAAATGTATAGGAAAATTGAATTTTCCCAACAGAATTTTTGCATACCAGACTATAGTCTGTTTAAAAAATTAATTCAGTTGTTTAGGGGTTAACTTATACATATATAGCTGAGCTATGCATGCATAGTGGAAGAACTGGTTATATTCATGCTTATACAGAGACACAAACTGTTTCAGTTGGGTCATATAGTTTTCAAAAACCAAGTGTCCATCATTATATTTATGGCAGAACTGATGAGAGATAACTTGTATATACAAGCAGAGTCCTTAGCAGTTGAAAAAGCAGGCCAGTGCTCAACTGAGTGCTCAACTTTTGTGTGCCCAACACAAAAGTTGAGCACTCACTCAACTTCTATCATTTTCAAGTTTTTCAACTACCCTAATCATAATGGACCACATGACCGAGAAAAGCTTCCAGGAAATCTCTGAATCGAGCAAACAAGGTCAATCTTTACAAAAATGTCCTTCAAGAAATACAGTCAGGTTTTGAAACATCAAATTCACTGCTGCTGGAACCCTGAAATGTTCATTGCATAGAGATAAATTTTATATCATACCACATGGTTTTCTTGCTGAAAAAGATTCAATATATTTCTGCTGATAATAAATGAAGGGTGTGTTCAGCAAAATATTCATTTATACAGTACTGTATAGGGAATTGTGCTTTCCCTCATCAGTATATAAGACACAATGTAGAATCCATGTATAGAATGTTTTTTTACAAAGACAAAATGAAAATTGTTCTGATTTCATATAGTAATGGAAGGAAAGATAAAGACAAATCCTTCTACATACTGTATAGTGTATGGCCATTTTTTAAATCAACATGAAAGGGATTGTGGATTTGTGGCCATAATAAATGAAGTTTCTTCCATTATAAGTTTACACCATTATTTTCATTACTTTGGGGATAAAATTGACTACATTTTACCATTGCTGCTGTCATCTAACTAAATACTGTAGGTGCTTTGAGCTATATATGAGGAAGGAAATGTATAAGCTCAAAATATGCTGTTCTGCAACAGTAGCAGAATTTCTTAACAAATACCCCAAGCTTTGAGTCTTAAATGTCTTACAGCTCTGTGGAAAGCAGAAAACACATAGAGATTTTTTTACATTTAGGAAATCAAATTTCATAGGGATGTAACTTATTTATACTGCGAGAAGTCCGTCCACTGTATTACCATATTTACTCAAGTACCAGCACATGCACATTTTTTCCAGAAATTAAGGCAGAAAAAAAGGTTCCTTTGGTACCCAGGGATACAATTCTGGAGGAAAACTTTTTGAAAACCCTGCTCATAGTATGTGGGTATATTAAAAAAAGTTTGAGAGGAAATGCATGGCACCAAGTCTTGTCATTGTTCATGCTGGGAAATAATAGTTGATGGGATATTAATTTTATAGGGATCAGTAGTTAAAGAAGAACAGGAAATAAAGGAGGCCAAAGATATACAGTATTCCTGTAATTGAGGGAGCTGCATTCAGATAGTAAAAATCATCAGGAAAAACAAGATGTCAACAGGGAAAAATGGATCCACAAAAGATAACAATTCTTAAAGCTCTGCGAAAAAAAAACTGAGGTGAGCATCTTACCGCAGGGATAGGTTTTCAGAAAAATTTCTTGAAGAAATATGGGGGTTTGCAGCTTATTATTCAGGCGTGCATGATACCTGAGTAAAAAGAGTACTGTATTTCTGTTCAGGCTAGCTGTACTGCATGTAAATATGGCTGGCAAGCTTCAAAAGTATAATACAGTGAGACCCCCACATGCAGACACCTCAACCTGTGGACAATTCAACATAGGGACACTTATTTTCCCATAAAAAACTAATAAAAAGGCCCAACATGAGGACACTGACTCAACATATATAGGAACATTTTGTGATAAAATTGGAAATACATTTCAGGCCAAATTACAAGAAATAAATAATTCAAAGCCTAAAATTGATGTGAGAAAAGTTCTTGGACATTTCTCTCTCTTTAATTTACCATCCATTTAGCTAATCAAAAAAATTACCTCCAGCAGAGAGGGACTTCTTTCTCTCTTTTTCACTTGAATGATATTTTTTATAGAGAATGCCAAAATTGCTATGCCCTGTACAGAGGTATCAGTATATTCAATTCCCCAAATGTCCATACTGTATTGTGTTGAAATATATTGATATATTAGAATCAGTTTAAATTGGGAGAAAATTTTTATTTTCATGGAATTATGTTGAGTATTTTGTCCATAAAACACCAATTAAAAATTATATATTGTAAGTCTAAGGGAAAATGAGATTCAACTTGGGGACATTTTGACTTCCTGCTGCCCTGGGGACCCTCTATTGATGCACTAATCATGTCCACATTTGGGGGTCTCATTGTACTGTATAATCATTTGAATATGCTGTGCAGGTGACAATATATATGAAAATGACCTTGATGTCTTGCAGTTGTAGATTGTATAAAACGCTTTGAATTTTTCTTGTAATTTTGCAGGGAGAATGCTTAGTATGATAGCAAGCGACATCTACTTGGAACAATCACTGAAGATTCGGTTCTCGGACTGTGTTCCCCCTGGTATTGATCATTGAAATGCTGGCACTTCGAAATTCTTCCTCTGGTGGAAACCCGCGCAGATTTTTGGGGAACTGCGCGAACTTCGGTGCTTGTATTGTTCGCGAAAGTAGGAACTTTTCTTGTATGTCGAACTTAGACCAGTCTTAAGGAAACCGCAAGAAGGAATCATGCCTCGTCCGTAGTGATCGAATTATTTTATTTGAAGCTTGAAAGACTTACGTCACACACGTCGATTGGTTTGTTTTCAGTTGGCAAACATGGGGGCGAATCAATCAAGGCCCGCGAACAAAAGTGAGGAGAGTACGAGTGACGATGAAAATGTCAACCCTTCGAAGAAGAATTTTCCGGTGTGCAAAAAAGTATCAGTTCGTCTTGGAAGGTGTGCTGCGGATAGGATCGATAAATCCGCGTCTGAAGCAGTGATCGTTACTTTATCTGACGATGATGAGCAGGAAATTAAACTAGAAGATGAAGTTAGACCTGAAGATGAATTTCAGCTGAAAGAACTGTGCAGGAAACGAAAGGCCTGTGTTCTTGTCGAGAGGCTGAACAATCATAAGGTGGAATCTGATGATTTCAAGGATGAAGACTTTTCCAAACCGAAGCAACGCAAAAAAGCGGAACGTTCTTCAGAACCTCAGCCAAGTCTTTCTCATCTAGCATCATCCAGAAAAAAAAGTTATCCCTCAACGTCGAAGGGCTCTCTGAGCAAAGACACGTGCAAGTTTTGTCGGCAGCCGAAGAGTATGCTCGTCAGCTTCGATCCTTCTAAACAAGACGGCTTCGAGTCCTTCTCCAAGCTATTAGAAGAACATCCGTACTTGCGAGATGAAACCGGTGCGGTCGACGATGGCTTGGTCTTCATAAACATCCTCCCGAATCCTGTTTCATCGCAGGAGAAAGACGAAGACGTGGAAGAAACCCACGATCTCTCATTGTGGTTAGAAGATTATGTTTTCTACGACGAGAAGATGCACATGGCTAGTTTCGACGAGAACATAGATAACGGAGTGACTCTGCGGTTTTCTGGAAAGATTCGGCGCTACAATGACCTCGGCACGGATGAAAAGTTCATTTACGACATCGGACCTGTGTTAACCTGGTGAGTTCGACCTCTGGTCTTTGCATATGAATTTCATTTCTGCTTTGGTTATTTCACTCGTTCCGAAATTCAAAAAAAGGTTAGCCTTGTATTGCTGCGAAAAGAGCATTCGTTTGCTGTAATATGGGCGATTCGGATTAACTTTCCCTTCCTTATTGAGTTAGTTGCCTCGATACTGCCAATTTTTGAGCGTTTTAAGATGGGTTCTCTGTTTAATTTCCAGGTGGATTGTTCGCGACCCAGGAAGTGAGACCGTGTCAATCGGTGTTTCTACTGACATTGGGCATTATTACCTCGGAACACCACACGAAGCTTATGCTCAGTACATGACCGATGCTGAGGAAAAAAGCATCTTGCTGTCATACATGATCAACACGATGCTCGAGAACCCGGAGAAATCTTTGGACGAAGTTATGGATCTTCTCGAACAGGAACGTCCGGATTTCGAAGAGATTTACCTCAGATTCAAGACTTTCTTGGTGAATCATTTGGTCGAATACGATGTGTTGGACGAACCGGAGCTTCAAGAGTCCATAGCATTGCGTGATTTGTTATCGGCGATGAGAGAGAAACCAGGGAAAGTGAAGAAAGCCACGAAAGAACGAATTCCTAAACGTGAAGCGAGTGACAAGGCTCATCAGCCATCTCATTCAACAGTAAGAGACATATTTTCGTGATTAATCTGTTATTTGCTGTGATTAGATGTAATTAGCTGCTAAAAATTTGGAAACGTCTTCTGTCGATTCTCTCAAGCGTTTTATTTCTTGCTGGTTGCATCGTTTTTGAACATCTCAGGTGAAAATTATTTTTTGCATCCGTTTGAACGATTGTGTACTGTATCTTTGCCTCTAGACAAACTCGAAAGCAACTACGACGCCACTTGTTCGCTCGGCGTTCGAACACCTGTTTTCCAACCAAATGTCCGGCGCCACTTCGAACAAATCCGCCAAATCCGAAGAAGCTTTGGACCATCTGAGCATCTCATGGCCGCCGAACGTTGTTCGTCTGAAACGTTCCACATCATGGAACTCGTCAGCGTTTAAAATCATTTCTGGCAGGAGTTATCACGATTCCTGCGTCTTGGATGACACTGAGACAGTCGAGGTCGGGGACTTCGTGAGGATCAAAATTGAGGACAATGGGGAGATGAACGTGGCATTTTTGCAAATTCATGCCATGTACGAAGAATTTAAACGCATGCGGTTCCACGGATCGCGGTTTTTGCAAGGCATTGAAACGATTCTCGGAGAAGCGCTGAATCCGTGCGAAATATTCGCCTCTCGTGACTGCGCAGACTTGAATTTGTCTGACATCGAATCCATTGTGCCGGTATGTAAACTTAGTGCTTGCTCAAGAAGTGCTGCGAAAGTTTTTGAGAATATTTGGGAATACTCCCTATTTTTCCAAGATTGAAAAAGTGGTTGTGAAGTGATATCTGTGAAAATTTCCTGCGTCTGAATTACATTTAATCTGGTTTCATAGGTTGAGATGGACAAGGCGCCGGTCAAGTGGCGGCTCGATGGCGGCAAAGATGTGCCGGAATACGACGGAGACAGTTTCGTGTACAAATTCATGGTTGACAAAGCTGAGTGTTCCTTTAAGGAAGTCGGATTCATCGACTACAAGGCGCTGCACGGGAAAGCTCTCGTGTGTCAAAACTGCGTGTGGACTGAGTCCAAGGTACGCTAAATTTTTAAATAGACTATTAAAAATTGTTTGCGCATGTTGTGTATAGTGAAAGAGCAGAGCTGTTTCTCTACGGTGGGGAATTAAGCTTGTTAACATTATTTTTCGGCCACTGAGTCCCAATTTACCGGCGAGGAATCCTCAAGAAAAATATGAAGCTGAAATGCACTGATTTTGAAATGTATTTTGATCGGAATGATACAAAATGTTCACGACTTTTACACATTTTGTGTCGAGTAAAAGGGACTAATTTTTTCAAAAGGGTATTAATTTTTTAATACTGTGCGAATTTTTATGATGAGAAAGAAAAATCACATGAAATTTGAGGACGGTCCATTTTCAAAGTCGCCTTTTTTTCTGCTTGACAGGTTTCAATAATGAACTTTCCTTCATTCCGCTTAACGGGATTTTTGTGACGCGTTTTCTTTGTTTGCTTGAGGTTTTGAGTTCGTATTCCATTTTTGCAGGGGAAACCGTACATTTCCGAGGAAGCGGATTCGGAAATACTGGAAGTAATCTACAAGGACGAGACTTACAAGGTTGGCGACACCGTGTTGATCGATCCCGGCAACAAGTTGGATCCCGTCGTCGCTGAACGAGAACGAATCCCGACGAAAGCCGAAATAGAAGCCGGAAAGGACAAGGCGATTTACACCGAGTTGTATCGTAAATTCGAGGACGGGAAAATGCCCAAGGCCAAGGGTTTCCCCGAAGACGTGATCCTGCCTTTGAACGTGGGTCGCATCTCGCGGATGTGGAAAGTGGGCAAGGATGTTCAAGCTGAAGTTGATTTGTTTGAACGCGTGGATGAAGGCGATTTCAAGACTGAGGACAAGTGCTTGAACAACGCCTTGACTTGGGCTGGGACAACTTCAAAGGTTAAATTTCTCACATTGTTATTTAAAACTGTAAAACTCAATTATTATTATTATTGAGATAAACTGGGGAAAAAAGAAGCACGAAATTGGCCTATTTCGATGAGGAATCAGAGTGAATTTATGATTTTTAAAATTTGTTTTCATTTCTGTGAAGATACGTACTGTAGCTCGATTTATTCGAGAGATGTTTAAATTTTGAAGAATTAATTTTCTCAATTTTTCTAGAAATGTTCGCAAATTGTCAAAATCTCAAGACATGGTATGGATATCGGGACAGCTTTTTTTTTTTTTCCTTTCAAGTTTCAAGTGTCCCTAAGTCGATTCGTCCACATGTCGGGGCCCCACTGTATTTCGTGTTGCCTAATGGCATCCCAAACTCGGTTTCTGTTTTGAATCTCAATTTTATTTATTTTGCAAGGTGGCAGTGACGAAGTTTGCCGGTCATGCGAAAATCACGAGGAAGGAGTTGTTGGGCGGCACTGCTGATTCAGAGTGGAGATCTCAGCACGGGTTTGTGCTTCTCGACGATGCACCGGAAGAAATCGACGAGCTGTGTGCGGAATTTTGGAAGGAGCGAGTTCCGAAGCCAGCTGCGTTGAAATGCATGGATTTGTTTTCTGGCGTCGGTGGATTGTCCCTGGGAATCCATCAGTCTGAAGTTGCCGAGACGAAATGGGCGGTCGAGTTTAATCCTCAGGTGAGCTTTTTTTTTTTTCGAAGAAAATTGACTGAATTTTTATTCACTTAAATGTTGATTGCCAGGCCGCAAAGTCGTTCAAGTTGAACAACCCAGACGCTTTTGTCTACGAGGGAGACATAAATCTTATCTTGGACGTGATGATGCGTTCTGATGTGGATCCGTCGGTTCCTCGAGTCTGGAAGGGTCAGCCTTTGCCGCAGAAAGGAGAAGTGGATATTATTACTGGTGGGCCGCCTTGTCAGGGATATTCTGGAATGAACAGGTTCGTCTTCGGAGCACGTACGAAAAATATAAAATAACGTACGATTAATGAACGGTTTTGGACGAAAAATTCTACATTTGGATACTTTTTGAAAAAGGTTCAACGGAGTTTCAACAACTCAAAAAAAAAATTATACTCGCATAGCCTCATCATTTGGCAACACTTCAGTGCTGTTTTTGCACTGATTTGATTGTAATTCTACGATCAAAGCAGTGCAAAAAGTCGAGTTCCGTTAGTTGAGTAGGAACCCTGTGACTTCTGGCTGTTGTCGACGGTAAAGAACGACCTGAAAGGGATTGGTTTTGAGGACAAGGGACAGCCTCATTTCCGCCTTCGAAGAGCAGCTAAATCAACTTAACGAAACTTGATTTTTGGCACTGTTTCGATCGTTGGATTTATCGCATGAAAGAATGCATTGAAATCGGCGGAGAGAATGTTGAACAGCACTGAAGTGTTGCCAAAGGATGGGGCTATGCAAGTAAAATGAAATTGATAATTTTTGGGAATTGTTGAAATTCCTTTGGATCTATTTCAAAAAGTCTCGCAACTCATGAACCCGTATTTTAATTTTTTAAGAAACTTTAAATTCCCAGTTCTTTTGATACCATGTGTAATTTTGTGACCGTTGTACGTGATTCCAGGTTCAACTACCGAGAAAACGCGAAATTCAGAAATTCCCTGGTCGTCTCTTTTCTGAGTATGGTGGAGTACCTGAGACCCCGGTTTGTTGTCATGGAAAACGTGAAAACTTTCGTGACGCACAACAAGGGAGCTATTTTAAAACTGCTGCTCAAGAGTTTGGTGGAAGCCGGCTACCAGTGCGAAGTTGCCGTTCTACAAGCGGGCCAGTTTGGAGTGCCACAAAGCCGAACGAGGGCCATCGTATTGGCTGCTGGCCCTGGGGAAGTATTGCCCAAGTTTCCGAAGCCCCTGACGACTTTTTCGGCGAGACACAGTTACCCTGGCTTCAAGATTGACGGGATCAGCTATGAGCCCACGGTGCGTTGAATTTTTTAATCAAATCGAGTTGTGATCGATTGGATTTGACGTGTCAATTTTCGATGATGCAGTAGAATCTCGGTACAACGAAAACTCCCTGTGACTTGAGAGAAAAAAAATCGTTGTAATGAAATTCAAATTTCTTAGAGCATGTAGGACTTGAATTCTTTGGGAAGCAGTAATTGCCATCAATTCCACCTTCTTTTTTTCATGAAATGGAGAAAATTCAAAATTTTGAAAATGTTTCTTTCATTTTAAATCATCCCTTTCTTAAATTTCCGAAAATTTTTCCGATCTCACCTAAGTGTAAGCTTAAACAAACGGAAAATACACGCGTTGTAAGAGCATCCATCCAGCAACAACTGTGCGTTCGTTGAATTGAGCATGATCCCTTCAAACGTACTTTTCTTTAAATTAGCCATTTATGAATTCTGAAATGAAGCTAGATAATTTTTTATTAAAGCTTCATACTTCTTCATTGCTGCGTTTTCTGTATGAAAAGAGTAGCATTTATTTCTTTGGTTTTTCAATTAGGCGCAATAAGTTTGGGTTTCCCAAATTGTGCCAATTAGTAAAAATTATCCAGGAACGCATGATCAACGCGAAATTTCGTTGTGCAGTAATTTCTGTACTGAAGTATTGGATGAAAATTAGTTTCACTGTCCCGATGAAAGAAAAAAAAATGCTGGGACCAAGAGAAAAATTTGCTATGACTAGGTTCGATGTTATTGAATTTTTTTATTTGAAACTGCCGTGAAAAGGAGCAATTTCGAAGAGTTTGATGATGAAAAATATCTGAATTGCAGCCTGTCAGTCACATTTAATCTTTTTCTATTGGGAAGACCTCTTTGAATTTAACGAATTTACAGGATGGACTCTCTCTCTCTCTGCAACAATTTTCTCTGCAGAATTTTTTTTTTTTTCCTCCGTGGAGATGTCTTCCCATATTTTAGAGATTCTCTATAACAAAATTATTTCTACAAGGGATTTTCTTTTCTGGTCTCTTGAATTCTGATCCTACGATGAAATTTCCCTCAACAAAATTATTTCTCTCGCTAAATTGGTGACAGAGGGTCCATCTGCATTCATATTTTTGTCTTAATTCAGTGCGTTGATATTTTTTCTTGTCTGGTTTGTCTTGAAGAATGCGTGGTGTGACACGAACACGGCTCCTTATCGTTTCATCTCCGTGCGAGAAGCCATATCGGATTTGCCACCTGTGTCTGTAAGGGATAAAAAAGACACCATGGACTACTTGGGTCCGCCTCAATCTGCTTTTCAAGCGGAGATGCGAACGGGGTCGAGCAAGGTGCGGGACCACATCAGCAAGCCTGTTTGCGAGCTGGTTGAATACAGGTGAGAACAGTTTTTTGATGTCATCGATTTTTCTTTGGTCTTTTTCGAACAGTCGGTGACTTATTTACGATATTATTTCCGTCTTGACCGCGATGAGCCGCCACCATTTGTTTTTTGAGAGACTGGTGTCGATTTGAAAGGGCTAGAGTATAAAATGGAGTAAAAGCTTTAATCCTTCATGAAAAAAAATCAAAATACCCCTGGGATGCATGAATTAAATCTAACTAATGTTTCCTATGCGTGAATTATGTCATTTTTGTGTGTGTGTGTGTTTTGAAACCTCTCAGAGAAACTTGAATCATGTTGGTGGGGAATCAAAGACAAAATAAATTGGTAGGAGTCTGTTTGAGTTGTCGATAATTTTGATAACTCACATTACGAAAATACTGTAGTCCTTCCCTTGAAGCGTATCGTTTTGTGGGATTTTAGTTGTGCGAGACGCGAGTTGTCTTTAGATTAAATTGTAAAATAATCAAAGCATTCCAGAAAATCATCAGAAGTCCTTGATATCTGAATTTTATTCGTAGTTTTCCGCATGAGTTTTTGAAATTAAAATTGTTCATTGGTGAAATTAAGTGATCCTGATATCTTTTGCAATCGACTTTCTCAATTTGTCAAATTTTAAAAACAGGAAGAGTCAAAAACATGACATATTTTTTTCAATTTTCCCCGATTTTGTTGAAAAGTTCTACAGGTTTAGCGCAAAACTTGCCAAAATTCGATCATTTTCTAGCCAAAAAATTTCATTTAGTGAACCAATTTCGCTATGAGTCAAGTTTCCCCCAAAAATTTTATTTTTGTCAGTGTTTTCCTTATACTGTACTCACTGTAAATTAGTTGCCTTCAGGTTGTGTTGGTCTGATGGCATTTCTTTGTCTATTATCCTGCATACAAATTATTGTACGAGGTATAAAACAAAATTTGAATCTCCAAATAAAAGCTACGTAGCTTATCTCAGTTGAACTTAAACTAAGGTGTACCCGTGGATATATGAAGAGTTTCGGGCGACACCTATGTAAGGAAAAAGACGTAATAATTCTGAGTGTGGGAAGGAAAAAATGAAAGAAAAATAACTCTGACGTTTCTTGGATTGAATGCTTAGTATCTTCATATTTAATGCACTGTACAATATACATATATTTGCGTACCTTTTTCATTTTACACCAGGATCAAGCATATACCCCGTTATCCGGGTGCGGATTGGCGCGATTTGCCCAACCGGGAAGTGGTTTTGAACGACGGGTTGCACAGGAAGCTCGAGTATCGCTACAAAGACTTCAAAGGCCGGATGCGCGGTGTGTGTATTTGCAACGCCACTGGCAAAAAATGTGGCAAAGAAAACATGGTCAAGTATCGCCAAAATAAGACTGTAATCCCGTGGTGTTTGCCTCACAATGGCAAGTTCCACAACGACTGGGCTGGTGAGTTCACATATAGTGCTGTATTTTCTTTGTCGCAGGAAGTTTCGAGCTTTTTTTTATTTTTTAAGATAACCCGCTTGCCAAGAATTTTATTCATTTATGTATTTTTTTCTTCAAATCTTACTCTTTTTGGAATTATTTTTTTCATTGCCAATTTTCGTACGAATGCCGAGATTCCTCGTGAAGTTGCATGGATTTGAAAGGTGGACGTCGATTAATCGCGAAAGAAAACTAATCTTAGAAGCCAAAATTGTGATTCCGTCAAATTTGGGGATTCGAAAATGAATGAGTTTTTTTTTCGTCAAATACGAGGAATTTCCGATTTTCAAACGTTGCGAATAACCGACATTTAGGGCTGTTTTATGTCGAAATTTTGGTTTTCTCTCGTAAGATCAAATTATCAATTCCATCGATGAGTTTCGTTTTGCCGGATTTTTTGTTGGAAGAAGCGCGTTTTCCCTTGAGAGAACATTGCAATTGTTGTATTGGTCCTAGCCACCCATCGAAAGAACACGAAAATTTGGGTATTTTTCAGGAGAAAATTGTGAAATAAATATTGTTCAGCATGAAATTGAAATAATCCTGACAACTCTTCCGCATAACTTTCTCAATTTTTAAAATTTTGAAGAACAAAAAGATGAAAAAGTATTTTTTATTTTTATTTTGTAGTTTAATTTCAACGCTTGTTCGAATTTGCGCATTTGTTTGTGCCAAAAATTTCGATGCGTTAAATAATTTTGCGATGTGTGTCACATTTTCTCACCCAAAAAAAAAAAAGTCTTCGTTATGCGGGGACACACTGATACAGTACGCATTTATTTATCTTTTCAGGACTCTACGGAAGAATCCTTGCCGGAGGCTTTTTCTCCACCACACTGACGTGTCCCGAGCCGATGGGGAAGCAGGGTTGCGTTTTGCACTATGACCAGGATCGCGTGGTTACTGTTCGGGAATGTGCTAGAAGCCAAGGGTTTCCCGACCACGTCACTTTTGCTGGGAAATTGGAAGATAGATACAGGCAAATTGGCAATGCCGTTCCGCCGCCGTTGGCTCGAGCGATCGGATTCCAAATCAGACTCGCTGTTGTGGAAAAGGAGAAGAAACGCGATGATCATTAAATGTTTTTTCTGTCTATTTGCCGAGTAATCTGATACTGGAAATTTCCTCGACTTTAAGTAATGATGGGATTATCGAAGTTACTGTATATAGATTTTTTTTTCTTGTTGCAGTATTCCAAGAACAGCGTGAAATGATCATAATTCAGTTTACCTGGAAAAATGTCGAACATCGTTCGCAGTAGAAGGTTTTATCTGATATTGTTCTACCCTGACTTGATGTGGGAAAGAGTTTCACCACGATCCACAATTATCCATGCGTTAATTACTGATTCATTTAATTGGTGATGCCCCTGAAAAAAGAAGATTGTATTTTGAAGAGGTCTTCTTGAATTTTGCACATTTGAGCTTAAAGAAGAAAATTTGTGTATACAGTATTTTTGAAATTTTATGTTTCTATTCGTGTAGGTTTTGATCACGTTAGTCCTCTCAGGAGTAAGATTTTATTCGTAAGAAGGAGATAATCGACGTTCAATTTTTTTAGAAGCGTTTTTATTGTGAAATGTATGATTTTTTTTGGTTTTCGCGAAGATTATCCCACTTATGAAGCGTCGTTGTAATTCTTGCAACGTCGAAGACCCCTTATAACAGAGCTAAGTCGAAAAATGTTTGCGAACGAAATGATTTTTGTCAATTTGATGACTTCGTATTATTTGTACCAGAATATGAACTGAGTGACGTATCCAGGGCGGAAACTAGATAAGGATGCCGATGATTTGACGCCATCTTGGTTCATCGAGATGCGATTGTCAAGAAGCTGAGCTTTTTAAAGCAGATACTGTGTTTACTTGAGTGCGCACCTTAATTTTTTAGCTCAAATTCTGGGGAAAAGTCCATCCCCAAATTAGGCTCGCACCTTAGTTTTCAGTTACCGAAATTCATATTTTAAAAATTAAACTGGATAAAAATCTGTATACCAGCCAACTGAAAAGTTAAATTCAATTTTTAACTTCTTGTTCCGTTCGAATCATAGAATCATTAAAAAGCGAACTTCCAAAAACAATTTGAAGTGGGGAAAAAAGTTTCACAATTTAAAGAAAAGTTCTCCCGTAAATGCGTCCCCAGCTTCGAATTGCGCCTAATTTTTGCCGCAGTTTGTTGATGAAAAAGGTGCGTGTGAAACTTTTGTAAATACGGTATGTGTTTTGAACTTCTGATGACATGTTGTGACATATATTTCAGTCATTTCCATTTTTTTATATCGCCTGCCCTCGAAAAGAGCATTGGCTCCTCTATGTATATTTTTATTCTGTTCAACTCGCATTCGAATTTGCCAATTTTTGGGTACAAATTTAAAAATTTTCGAACGCGTATGGGTATTCTTGTGAGTTCAATATTGCCACGAAGAAATTGCCGATCGTTGAGAATTTCTATAAACTGCTAGATTTTACGGATTGAAGAGAAAGTGAGGAGCTTGAAGAGCTTTTGCCATTTTTTCTATGATTCCGAATCACTGGGTATTTTCAGCGTTTTTTACGTTTCTCAATCGGCCCGATTCTGTATTATTCCGAACATTGACTGTGACTTCGTTGAAAACCAAGGTACATATTCCGCCGATCGGTTTTTTTAAATTGTTTTTACATTTTCCGAAGTTTCGGTAGAAGATTTTTTTGACTTTTCTAGTGCGGGTCGAGGCACAGAAGACGAATGTACAGAGAATGATAATTTCATGGTGTTCGATTCCTCGGGGGTTTTTTATTGCGTTTTTTCCTCCACACTTCTCGTCATGATTTTGAGTGAATTCGTGTGCTTTTGTTCCAGATTGTGTGATTTTGAGAGTGTTGGGAGGTTTTTTGTTTGTTTTGTTTTCGCCAAAGAAACATGGCGACTCGCTCCACGGAAAAGGGGAAACTTCGCCTGAAGGGCCGGAAGATAACTATAACTCCGGAAGAAGAACCAGCGACGAAGAAAATCACGAGGGACTCTGATTTGGGCATCGACAAAGTTCTTGTGACTATCGGAGATTCGCGCGAAGTGAAAACCGAGCCCGGTGTTGATCATCAGCTATCAATGAAAATCGTCAGTTTGTCTTCCTTTGGATCTGGTTTCGAGGGACCTATCAAGGTTATTTGACATGATTTTTCATATGAAAATTTCCTCATTTACGAGGGTATTAGCTATGTTTTCCCCATAAAATGCCTCGGTCGCGACTTGAACTGTACAGTGAGACAGTTGCATATTGCATTTTCATTGTGCAATATGAAATTTTCGATAACGAAGAAGTATTTGGGGAAGAAAGCGACTCACGTAAAAAAATTTTCACATGACATTTTTCGGCTCAAATATGCTCAAATTTCAGTTAGTTTTCAACGAAATTTTTGTCAAATCTGACGAAAGGGAAAGTTCCTCTGTAAACATGAAAATCTCTTTCAGAACAAATTCCTGATCCATATATTGTATTGATCAAATAAATTAAAAAAAAATTTTTGAAACATTTTTTCATTAATTTCTCTTGAAAATGGGAGAAATTTTCATTTCCAGGAATTTATTTGAAAGATTCCAGTTTCAGATTTATTCATTGATTTCATCTCCTTCCTTTTAAATTAAAATTGGTCTGGGAATGATGAGAAAATTGTTCTGAACAATTTATTGGTTTCATCCTTTTTCTGATGAATTGATTTGCTCTGTAAACTAATGCCACAAAAAAGTGGTACTTTCCTGTTATCTCAATACCTACTTTCCTGTTATCTCAGTACCTACTTTCCTGTTATCTCAGTACCTACTTTCCTGTTATCTCTGTACCTTCCCTCTGACCAATTTAACCTGACCACTTTGGGTTTCTGCTGAAACTGATTTTGGGAGGCAGTTAGGTGAATGTTATGTGAATTAAAAGATATTTGTAACTAACATAACCTGACCTAACCCAACTTTACCTGACCGCCTGCCAAAATCAGTTTCAGCAGAATGCAGAAAAATAAAATTCACAGTTTCTGGTAGGTCATTGTGACTATGAACTTGTCCTATAGATTTGTCTGGATGGTAGTGCAGTCTAGGAATGAGGTACTGAGATAACAGGAAAGTACTCAAACGTGAACTAACATCATATCTGAAATAACTGAACTTTGATGATGAAATCTGGTGTGTCGTTACAAGGCAAGTGACATCTGTGTAATTTTCAAGAAAATACTTGGTCGATGTCGCGGGGTGTTGCACTCAGAAGAGCGAACAACTCTTCGATAACTCTGGGTTTGAAATGCTAAGGAGGACAATTTTCAAAGATGAGATTTTTCCAACTGGTGAATGGTTTGGATTGTATTTTTTTTTTGTCTCTGAATTTCAGGATAAACTGCCCGATGAACTGGTGGTGGCTGAAACCTGGATGGCCTCACCGAAAGCCGATCGACAAGCAAGCTGTCGTCTCCTCCTGAAATCTATCGAAGCCATTCGTTTACGTAAGGAGTCGAATACTGCTGATGATTCGTGGAAGGCCGCGATGATCAGGCAAATCCTCGACGGTGTCGTTAATTTGCGGACCATGAACAGGTGCCTTTTTTAATCATGCTGTTCATAAAATTCTCGTTTTCATCGGTGAGACGCACATTTTAATTTCTCTGCCTTTCTTTTTTTCGCTTGGAGCGAATATAAAATCACGAAAATTTAATCAGGGTTTTTTTTTTCGAAAAGAATTGAATTATTTTTTAAAAAGTCTTCTAAATCATGGAACGACTTTGTTTCTGTGGGAGTAATTTTCCGTCGAGGGCAGAAAAATTAGAATGCCCACCCCATCAATGAACAGGTGACTTTTTATCTGGCTCTTCATAAGATAATCGCTTTCATTGAAGAGGTGCACGTCTTGATTTTTCTGCCCTTTTTAATCCTCTCCTGGATAAAAAAAAAATTAAATCGGAGTTTTACGTCAGGAAAAGATTAATTTTTTTGAACATATTCGAATGACTTCGTTTCTGCTGAAGTAATTTCATGTGAAATTTTGAATTTTAATAATGGCATTCTTCTATAATTAACGAAGTGTTTTAATGGAATGACTGCGTTTCCTCTGAAGCGATTTTCTTTCAAATCTTGTAAGTTTGTTTGTATTTCGAAAACAACCCTTGATTGTTGATGTGAGAGGCTCGAAGAAAGTTCGAAAACATGCTTTCTTGCGATAATTTTGGTTCTTGATGGATAAGGATTTTGAAAAATATAATATTTCGATAAAATTATTGAAAAAGGCGAGATTCAGGGGGATTTTTGTAACCTTTTCAATTTTTTTCAAAAGGTCCTCTGAAAATGATTTCGAACTTCTGTCTAATCCTGGGCCTGATCAGTTTCTACGCAATAAGTAAAATATATTCATTTTCGAACGTTTTTTTTTTTTTCCTCTTCGAAAAGGTACCAGAAGTTGTGTTTGAACTCGACGCGTGAGGCTGCGAAAAATGCTCGGTTGCTGGCGGATAAATTGCAGTACAAGTACCAAAACTGCGTGGCTGAGGCCAATTACGTGCGGAGAGAAGTTGGAATGTGCAACAAGTTCCGCTCATTAGACGAAGAGATGAACTTGATGCCGGTTGAGGAATTCCTTAGGAATGCTCCCGAATCCCTTCGACCCGAGGTTTGTTTTGTACTGCGATCATGACCATTTTCTTTTTTTTAAGGATTCATTAAGTGAGGACGGACGTGTTACAAATGATTGATTTGCAGTGTCTCAGCGGAGAAGGTTTATCAGTTTTTTTGAAGCATTCGCTTGTCTTCGAGACTTGACAGAAACTTATGAAAAGAGTATTGTTCTGAAGTCCCGGATTTGTGAGAGCCGGACATTTTTTATTTTCATATATGAAATCTTTCAAAAATGGAATTTATGAATGTGTCTCTTGAAATTGACGACTTTTTTTTTTTTTTTTTTTTTTTATAGGGCATTGAAAAGAACCCACATGAGTTTCATTTTAATTTTTCTTTTTTTTTTTTTTTTTTTTTATACAGGGCATTGAAAAGAACCCACATGAGTTGCAGTTGGCACGATTGCAATACGAGCTTCAGTTGCGAGAAGAATTGAGTAAGCAATGCGAGATGGAACGAGAGTCAGAGAAGAAATTCAAGCTGGAGATTAAGACTATGGAAGAGACGATCCGTGGGTTTCTTCCGGTCGTTGATAACGTTTTGGAGGTACATTTTCTGGGGAAAGATCGAATGTTTCATCTTCATTGTTGCAACAAACAAGAATATATTTTCAGAGCTGCAAACAATTCGGACAGTTGTTCCCCGAATCGGAGAAGGTCTTCAAAGGAATCGAACTCGAGGAAAAGTCTCGAGCTCTTCCCGCTCCTCTTCACGCAATCTTCTCCAAGTTCTTCAGCTATGAGGAAGTTTGCCGTAAGGATTATTTTTCCGAAAGTTATTTATTCCACGCTTCATAAAAAAAAACTAAAAACTGCTTTGAAATTAAATTCTTTGGGTATCTAAATTTCACCGCAAAATTCTCCCAATTCTCTTTCAACTCTTTCTTGTCTACATGTGACACGCACTTTAATTTTTCAAATTTTTTTAAAACTTGGGGTGAGGGAAATACAAGACTGAAGAAAACTTTTGGACCAACCCTCTTTTGTCTGGACTACTTTTTCATCATACCTGAGCCTGAATTCAACAAAAGAAAGATTTTATTTCGGCGTGGTTGAATACGATACATTTCGCGTGTTACATTTTTCTGTTATTCTGCCGCAGCGTTTTTTTTTTCAATGGTAAAAATTAAAATTAAATAGATATGTGTTCCATCTTTTGCAGGATCTTCCTTGACGATTACCATTTACGGCGACATGGACGCAGCATTAGCACTGGAAGAACACGATCCTTGGAAACATTTAGCCGTCATTCCTCCGCTGGAATCGGAGCTTGAAGAGCTACACTCTGATTCGGACGATGGTCGAGACCGTTCGGAATCCAGCGACGAGGAAGACGAAGATGATGAAGAAGATGACGATGATGATGAGGACGAGCGACAGGAATGGATCGAGCCATCCGCAAAGAGCAATGCGGATGAAGAAACCGAAGTCGCGGCCAAAGAGGATCGCGAACGTCTGGAAAATAACACAGAATCCGAGGCTGTGAAAATGGAAGAAGACGAAGAACAGGAGGAAGAAGAAGAAGTAGAAGCAGCAGCGTCCTCTAGAAGCAAGGAAACGAATGCGAGGAGAGGAAGAGATTCGAGTCGGAAACGGAAAAAGGAGAAGAGACGTGACAAGGAGGCCTTGAGGAGGCGAAGACAGGATGAGTTGGAGGAGAAGAGGAAGATTGCCTGCACTGCTCATCCTTTGTCTTTGACTGTCCATCTTCATGTTGGGGGTACGTATTCATTATTGTACTCATTTCTGAGTTACTTTCTTACAACAGGCGTCCAACATTTCTTTTACGACTAGTCCATCCGTGGGAAGATTATCTTCGTTTCATGAGTCGGAAGAGTTGAAAAGTTGAAGAAAAAAAAACCAGGTGTACATATGAAATGAGGTTGCTCATTGTATTTGCTGTCGATGTAGCTATTTGTGCGACATCTGTGTAAAATTCCAGAAATTCAAGTGAACCAACGTATCTAATGTGAGTGATTATCACTTAAATTTCGCTGAAGTTCGAGGAAGTTATTCAGTGGTTCGTGTATGTTTCACTTCAAAATAACTACCAAGTTTTTGAAGCATTCGCATTCAAGAAACGCACGAAAGGACTCCCATGAATTCCTGTATCTAATTTTTATTCAAATATTGCGTATTTGAAGTGTTGTATGTCCTTTTCCTGCTTTTAATCCCGAATTCTTGCGTGTTTTGTAACTTCCGTTTGCGTTTTCGCAGACAAAAGTTCTCTGGTGATGCACTTCCATTACTACCCCTATTTCAACATCATCACGATCAAAGCAAACATTGACAACCAAGACCCACGAGCAGCTTCAAGTCGTCACGCGTCAAAGTAAGTTTTCGAATCGTGATGCAAAAAGGGTGTCTGATTCTCCAACTCGGTCCTATTTTTTAAGCAAGAGGGGAACTGTCGTGATTAAATCATTACGTGAGATTGTCTTGATCATTTTCCTGGCTCCCCACACTTATTTCTCTGAATGTTTCTTTGATTCAATCTTGAATGTCTGAAGAAATCGATCACGTGCATTGTAGTATGAACACCTTGCGGTGCCCATATTTTGTAGATGGTGCAAGTTTTTACCTTCACTGAAAACAAAATTTTTGTGAACAAATTATTACTTCGCTGTATATGAAGAAGAAAATTGACCGAGAGTTTCGTCAGTGAGGCCTCTTAGTCATCAGTGATTTGCGGAAGTCATGGAAGGTTCAGAATTGGAAATTTTGAGTTTCCTGACGGTAACATTTCAGAAAGTCACATTTTTCACGTGACCCTTTGATAAGGAAAGCCGGAAATCTGTTGAAATCGGTGCGGAGTTCGTGAAAATTGACGGTAATACAGTATTTTAAAAATGCTTCGTAAAAATAAAGCTGTGAATTTTACCATTTGATTTCGTGCAAATGTCAGCCATCTTTCGTTTGTTTTAGAAATTGAAAATTGCGTTCTTGATGAGCAGTCGTCGGAAATTTTTGTAGAAAAGAACAGGTGCTTAATTCAATATATATTTTTTTTTTAGGGCTCTCTCGAACAAGTGGTTGGTCAGCGAACTCTTCAATCTCGGCGAGGAAGAATGCGATCCCTTCAAAACCTGGCACATAACCCCGACGTTTCTGCATCGCGCCAAACGGTTGAAAATCTCTCGTCGAATATTCAGCACCAGAATCGACGGCCGCGACATTGGTTACCCCCTTTGGTGGGTCAACGTCTGGGCCGGGCTTCGACCCCTGGAACCCGTGGATGTCGTCGGGAAATGGACTGCGGATGAAACCGGGTCCTCGGAAGGGAAAGAAGATGAAGAAGAAGCAGCAGCAGCGGCAGTAGTGGAGGAGACCTTTGTGAAGGAAGAGGATGCCAAGAAGAAGCGAGACGTTAATTGGACTTCGAAACTGGAGACTGACAATTTGCTGACGAGACTGCGACAAAGAATCGGAGCACGGATGATCCTCACCTCTGAACTTGCTCTCATAGGTAGACAATCGTGAAAATCCCCTCAATTTCGATTATTATTATTTTTTTGGGAATTCCGGTCTGAATTCTCTTGAAACAATCCATTGAAAACCTCCCTAACTCGAAGCATTTCAACCTAAAACCTCCTTCACTCCAATTTTCTGAAGGCCTTTTGTCTTTTAAAATATTTTATTCACACAGAGAAAAGAACAGCAAGAAGTGTGACTTGTTGTATTTTGAAAGGGAATAAGATACTAATTAGGCAAGTGAACCCTTGCCTCCAAGATCACCATCCTGTCAACTCATTTAAGAAGCAATGTAAGGCCTGGAATATCACCAATTACAGTGTCCTTCGATTATTCTTTCTTTCCTCCGACACAAATGCTTGATTCCCTACTCGAAACCCCCACCATGACCTAATGAAATGTTTTTTTTCGTTTTATTTTCAGAGGAATTTGCGAATAAAAACAAGAAATACTTGGAATCGGGTTCAGATTCTGGTTCGAAACCTGAAGTAGGCATTATTAAGTCGTCCCAGACTTTGTTTCCACTAACTGGACCGATATCGTTGTTGACTTCCTGGAAATACGTTTCGGATGGCGACAAAACGGAATTCTATGACCAGTCGGAAGAAGATGGAGGAGAACCCCGGAAAGAGGCGAATTCCCTGCAATTCACGGGGGTCATCACCAGGGATGCCGGTTTGTGTTTTATTTATTTTTTGGATGCGACTTGGTTCGGATTTATTACTTTTTGAATAATACTAACGGTTTAAAAATATTCTGAGATGATGTTGGTTAAGGCTCATCGTTGCTTTAAAGTATCGATTGTTTAGATACGAAATCTGAAAAGATTTAATTTTACCAATTTTCATGAGGTTTGAGGCATTTCACGGATCTTCATTTTGAAATTCCAGAGCGTTTTGTGTCAAACTGAAACTGAAGCCGATTCATATAATCCCGTATTGACTCCAATATGTGACGCACTTTTTTTCAGATAGGCTTTTTATCTGCTCAAAATGAAGCCGGAATCATGCTTATTTTTATTTAATTTCCCACAGCAACACTGAATTTCCTGGTGAGCTTGAACTCAAATTATCCACGACAGCTTCCGAAGTTCCAAATAATCGTGGACAAGGAGTCGAAAAGGAATGCACGAAACGATCTCGACATTAGGGTGAGCTGATGATTTCTTTGATAGAACTTTTGTTTAATTCACAGCGACTCCCCGCATAACGGAAAAATCGCACAACGAAAAATCCGCATTATGGAAATTCTTCGGGAGGAAAAACGTGATTCATATTACGAAATTATTTCACTTGACAAAATGTTTTGCCGAAAAATACTCGAATTTCGGCTATTTGTGGGGTGAAGTTTTAGAATTTTTTCGCGAAAATCGAGGAAAATTATAAAATAAGGATAAATTTCTGTCTCTTCGTGTTTATAAAATTTGTGAGATTAAGAAAGATGATAGCTCAAAGCTTTCAGGATCACCTTAATTCTACACTGATCAATTATAAATTCGAAAAAGTATGCTGAAAACTTTTAATAATGTCAAGGTATTTTTTTCGTGGGTGTCTGTAACTAATTATTCATTTTAAATGCAATACTAAAGGAAATTTCGTTTCGAATTACAAAATTTTCACGTAACGAAACGCATCGAGGAACGGATTATGCGGGAATCCACTGTACTGTATATATTTTTACAATTTTATTTTTTCTTGAAGGACATGGAACGGGAAATGAATTATTTCTGGGTGAAGGAAGTACGTCGGGAAAAGCAGCTGCTTTTCTGCAGTGTTCAGAAGTTAGCGGTTCTGTTCGATGTGTACTTGGAAACTAGGTTCCGAGGATTTTCCAGGACCTACAATTATTCTCGCTTGAGCAAGTCAGTATTTTTACGAGAAATTTTTTTTTGTAATGCTGTATTTTTAAAGAATAAAAAAAAAAAACGATGCGTTTTTCGCTTTTATTATTTTTTTCGTCCTCCAGTATTAAATATTACATGTTCCGGAAGACTGGAAGAGAGCGATTTTTTTTTCAAATTGAAAAGAGTACATTTTTCTTTCCTTAACGTAAAAATTTTGATATTGAGACAGGTTTTCCGGAGAATTCGTAAAATACGTATCAGTGCTGTTCAGTTTGTTTCGGACTTTGGATCGATGTTCCCAAGATTTTCTATGCTCACAAAAATGAATACTGCGAGAAAAGCCTGATGGGAAATATTTTAGCTTTCTGTCGAATATCATGTTTCATGCTGACCAAAATTCTGTCGTTCATGTTTTTAGGGGAAGAACTGAGTCCCTACCATGGAAATACGATCATGGATCAGACTGCTTCATCGCAAGATGATCTCCGTCTCAGTTTTGACTCAGCTGGATTCGAATTGCGGCTGTTTCTCAGGGGGTTTTCCCATTTTAAACTTACTTTTATTGCCTGAAACTTGGAATAAAAATGGTTTTTGTGGATGTGAAAAATCCTCGGGCATTGTTTTGTTCGGAGCACTTGAGATAATTTCTTTTAATCCAGTAATTTATCCATTATCGGTCTCGTGTTTATTTAGATTTATTGTTGGGTTGGAAAAACTAGAATGCGAGGATGTCTATGCTTATTGTGAAGGGCCTTCCGTTGAAAGTAAGTATTTGTAATTGAGGATATTGAATGGATGAATTCACGAAGAAATATGTTTCGTTTATCGCAGGCGACGGAAGAAAGGTTGGCGAGCATATTTGAACCGTTCGGTCAAGTGACGAATGTTCAACTCAAGTACACCAAAGAAGGGAAATTCCGACAGTTTGCCTTTATTGGCTTCAAAACTCCGGATTCAGTCGCTGAAGCTATTAAGAAGCTAGATAAAACCTTTCTCGAAGGAAACAAACTCGCTGTTGAAGTTTGCAAGAAGCTAGGTGTGGGACTCTTTTTTTTATTTTTACCCTCGTTCACTTGAATGATTTTGCGAAATTGAGGCTGATGACTTTTCTTTGTTTAGGTGAAACACAACCTCGACGGAAGCCGTTCACTGAAAGATTCCACGATGACGAAAGCAAGACGAAAGGAGTTCCTAAAAATGGGAAGAAAGAAAACGGAGTCAAATTGATTGCTTCCAAGATCCAGGTGCGAATTATTCCGAATTAAGGAATCAAAATTTTACTGTAACCCGTCTACCCTCAATCGATGAATTTTAGATTCTGTTGATTATTCGTATATATTCGAAGAGTTTTACTTCATGATTTTTTTAAAGCTGTTTTTAATTGTCTTTACAGAAAATGCCAATATTCACTCACGATAGTGTTGAATTCAAAATTTGCTCGGAAAAAGTGTAGTTCCAGTTTTGCGAGCAATTCTTTTTTCTTATATTTTTTACCGGAAATTCCTGTGTGCAGCATTTTTGCGTCTTTGGAAAATATTTCCAAGAGCTGATCTTAAATAATCTACATCTGAAAAAACAGTAATATTAAAAAATTAAACGCTATTCAAGGTCATTTAACTTATTAGATTGATGGGAAATTCAAATTTTAAAATATGCGTGTAATCAAGTAGCGAATTGAAAAGAAAGCTGCGCCGAATCTTGAAGTGAATGAGATTTTTGATCTAAAGTTCCTGACGGAAAATGAATGAATTTGTTTGAGAGAATTTAAATTGTTCAACATACTTTTAAAAGTATATTGAATGCACACCTGTGAATATAATTATGTAATCTCCAGAAAAGATGAATTGATTCTAAAAACCTCAATTTTATTTTTGAAGAATGGTATCGCTTCAGAGTATCTACTGCTCTTCATGTGTCTATTTCGGTTTGCTGTCATATGCAACTCTTCCGAATTTTTCAGAAAAATGATCCGAACTATCAGGAATTCCTCGCATTGCACTCCAAGGGTTCCATTCGAGAAAATGGTCAGATTGATGAAGAAGGTGAAGAAACATTTCCTTCGTCGAACGAAATCCAAGAAGAAGAAGAAGGAGGAGAAAATGCTGCGGATGAAGCGGACATGGATGTTAGTGAAATATCCCAAATATTTCAAATTAAAGCATTTTTTCTTCTCATCTTTTGTTGATAATTTCTTGTGTCGGTACGTTACTCTTCTTTTCCATGAATTTAAAATTTGTTTTATGTAAAATGATAATGATTTATTTTATTTTAAATTTTAGTATTTAGCATCGAAAAAGACGAAGAAATCTGGAACAGCTGCCCTGGCATCCGAAGGGCCAGCTGATAAATCTGTGGAGCCGAAAGCGAAACCGTCGTCTGTCCACAGAAAATATGGCGTTTTGCCCACAGTGAAGATCCGAGGCTTGCCATACACCATCAAAAAAGGTGCTTTGAAGCAGTTTCTTCGCCCTGCAGTCGTTTTCCACGTCAGGATCCCTTTACATCAGAAGGGAATGGCCTTTGCGACATTCAAAAGCGAGGAGGAAGCGAACAAAGCTCTAGCCAAACATCGCACTTTTTTGGGTCAGTGATAATTTACTCTAAAACGAAGAGAAGATGGAAGTATTTATTTCTCGGAAATCTTTCGTAACATTACACTTGAACCTCTTCAAGTCGAACTTTCAAGGGACCATCAAGAAATCTATTTGCCAATTCCTCTGGAAGAAAAGGACAAATTATATTTTAAAATATATTTATATAAAATGTTATGCAGCATTTATTTAAAAAAAATGTACTGTACAATATTTATATTAAAAAATATATATTAAAAATACTTATACGTATTAAAAATATTTACAGTATATTAAAAATATTTTTATTAAAATATATTCGTATTAAAATACATTCGTATTAAAAAAATTACATTAAAATAGATTCATATTAAACTATATTTATACTTGTATTGAAATATATTTATATCTATATTAAAAGAGATTTACGGTGTACTAAAATATACTTATATCTATATTAAAAGATATTAATATTATAATATATTTATTACCTGTGTCAATAAAATAATTTCAAGAAGGCATCCCGAAAATTCGAGTTGAGTAGGTCAGAGGAGGAATTTTTCAAGTGAATTTGTGGCAGGAACTTTAAAAAAATTGACATAGATATGTACAGTATTCAAGTTTACGAGGTTCAACTATTTTCAAATTTGAACTCATATTTTTCAATTCAGGTGAACACAGGATATCAATTACTCGCAACGAAGTGAAAGAGATGCTCCTGGCCAAAGAAGACAAGTACGAGAAGTTCAAGGAGCTGGAAGCGAAACTCGCTGCCGAAGAAGAACCAGTTGGAGAATCCGGTCGTTTGTTCATCCGCAACTTGTCCTACTCTGCCACTGAAGAAGACCTCGAGGCCCTATTCACGCCCTTTGGCCAAGTGACGGAGATCAACTTGCCGGTCAACAAAACCACTCGACGCATCCTCGGATTCGCCTTCATCTCCTTCCTGTTTCCGGAACACGCTGTGAAGGCGTTACAGGACCTGGACGGAACTGCGTTCCAAGGCCGTCTTCTGCACATTCTGCCGTCGAAAGAAGCCCGCCAGAAGACGTCCGGAGACGGCAAAGAGTTTAAGGAGAAGAAGAAGGAGGTGGTCGTTGGGAAGGCCAGCACTTGGAACGCGTTGTTTGTGGATGCGAATGCCGTGGCGGAAATTATGGCTGATCGTTACAGGGTGTCGAAAAAGGCTGTTTTGGACCCTGGTGATCGTGGTGATACTAGTGCTGCTGTGAGAACTGCACTGGGAGAAACGCAGATTGTGGAGGAGACGCGGAAGTTTCTCGTGGACAATGGTGTTTGTCTGGATGCCTTCTCTTTGGAAGAGGTGAAGATATTCTTGGGGAAATTGTTGCATCTGTAGGAAATTAATACTGTGTGAACTGACGATGCAGAGTACCAAAGGAAAAACCCTGGATAAAATTTGATCACCAGGAAATTCCTGGTGATCACCAGATTAAACACACTCCCATTTTTCATGGTGAAATTTATGTTGGGGACAACAGTTGCCACAACACAAGATGATGATGAATGCTGTGGATCAAAGCATTATACAAGCGTCAATCCTTGATTTAGTGCCACCCTTGCATAGTGCCACAAATTTCCTTGAAACAAATCTCCCTCCATTGTGTCCTTCAGAGAACCCCAATTTAGTGCCAAATCACTGAGTACCACAAAAAATTCCTATTCTGAATGAAGAAAAGGCAAGAATTAGACTAATTAAGGCATATTACTAGGGATATCATTAGGTTATTACTGAGGATCACATGGCCATGCTCAGGATGACCATAAAAATTATTTTTCTGAATTTACATGTTATTTTGTGGTTCCATTTGATTATCCTTCAAAGCAAAGAGCATCTCAATAATTGGGATAGTCTCTGTAAAAAATTGAAAATCACTCCATCCAACCTTGGAATGGTTGGCTTTCACAGAAAGGTTGATGGAATACTGCAAGAAACAGTTCCATTCTTGTACTTACCCAATTTGTGCAAAAATTTAATATATTCTGTACTACTGTACAACACAGTTTTAAATGCAGTAAAAAAGTTCTTTTAATCCTTAGATTATTTTGCGTTGCCTTCTCTGTAGTGAAAAAAGGCACAATGGCCTAACTTTCTTCAAACCCAGAACACCCCTTTTTAGTGTCAACATTGCTTAGTGCCCTAAAATGTGCCGGGAGAAATTCTGGCGCTAAATTTGGGATTTGACTAGAAAAATTTAGTCCAGAAGAAGGGCCAGGAATTTAATTTCAATTTATTCAGTACCACAAAAATCCCTTGTTCTTGGATGAAAAATAGGCCAAAATCAAAGAAATGAAATCCTTTTTTTATGGATTCCATTGGATTGTTACTGAGATTCACGTAACCATGTTCACACAAAAACTCATGGTAATCTTGAACATTTTATTTGTGAATTTACGTCGTCTAAATTATTTTTGCATGACACCTTCAATTATTGAAAATTTTAGAAATAAAAGGGGTTCTTCCCTGGAAATGATTTCATTCCTGCATGATGGCACGTGTTGTAAAATTCAAACAAAACTCTGAGAAACAGCTCTGCTCTTTTACTGAATGCAGAATGTGTAAAAATCTAATATATTCCGTCTTATTAAGTAGGTCAAGGTACAGCATAAAAACAGTGCATGTGAGCTCCAAATTATTTATTGTGGCTTTCTCCCTTCTAAAACCGCGTCAGTGACCTAAAAAAAATCTGTAAAATAGCTTCTTTTGCTTACAGTAGAAACGCTCAAATGAACCTTCCTCTCGTGTATTTAGTGCGACAAAATTTTCCAGGACAAATTATGTCACTAAATTGAGGTTTTGACTGGAATTCGTTGTCATGAATCGTCTTTTTCTCCCCAGGGTCACGTCCGGAAGCGATCGAAGCGAATCATCCTCGTGAAAAACCTCCCGGCTGCCACAGACTCCGATGCGGTCAAGAAACGGTTCGGCAAATTCGGTGTAGTTGAGCAGGTCATTCTCCCCCCGACCGGAACAACTGCGATAGTAGCCATGGAAAACGCGACCGAGGCGAAAGCCGCCTTCGAAGCCCTGGCAAACAAGGTGCTTAAGCGTGATTCGAAGCTTCCCATGTACTTGGAATGGGCGCCCAAAGACGTGTTGGTGGCCCGTCAAGTGCCTAAGGTGGAAGACGACGTTCTGGACCAGGCGACCGAAAACAGCTCGACGATTTTTGTGAAGAATCTGAATTTTAAGACGGACGATGAAGCCTTGCACAATGTTAGTAGTTTCGTCATCCTTTCGCACGTTTTCAATTCCGGGAGCAATTTCATTTTTCTGGCAATTTTTTTTTTCATCTGACGTTTTATTTAATCGAGTTTCTGTTGAAAGTGTTGTCGTAGTTTTCGAAATCGAGGAATTGTGTGAAGTGGGAAAATTCATTCTTTTGCGCAGCACTTCCGGAAATGCGGGAGAATAGTTTCAGCGACGGTGTCGAAGCACTTCAATCCCAAGCAAGGGAAAAACGCTTCGAACGAACCCTTGTCTTTGGGCTACGGGTTCGTTCACTTCGAAGCTCGAAATAGCGCCATGAAGGCGTTGAAGGAACTGCAAGGCAGCTCGTTGGACGATAGAGTCTTGAAATTGAAATTGTCCAAGAAGACGAGAAACGATGCCGGTGATGCGGAAGATGGGAAACCCGCGGCGAAACCCGTGGAAATGGACGCCCCAAAAATTCTCGTGAGGAATATTCCGTTCCAGGCGAACCGGAAGGAAATCACAGACTTGTTCAAGTACGATTGCAGAGAGAAAGAAAACGAAAAATCGTATGGGGTATCTTTGCTTTTTAAACGTAAAATTTTATTTTTTCAGGACCTTCGGCGAGGTGATCGCTGTGCGATTACCCAAGAAACCCGGCCTGCAAGGAGAGCATAGAGGATTCGGCTTTGTGCATTTCACGACGACTGAAGCAGCCGAGGTAAGAATTCTTTCCGTCCATCTGCGGGAGTGAATGGAAAAAATAAGGACAATTTATCCCTGATTAAAGCTTGTGTGTATTACTGTAAAGCATGTCTCCTAATAATGCAGGTCGTCTCTCTCTCAAATTCAAGGGTCCAGAAAACAATTGTAGAGAACACCCATGTGAAGGGGACAGGTAATAAAAATGTTCTACTGAGAAGATAGTTGTGGAGAAAATTGTAGAGTTCTACCTGTGGAAGGATGTCAGATGCTTGAGGGAAGAAATTAATTTGAACATTGTTGAACCAGCTTTGAGCAGGATTCTCTTATTTTCTAACTTCGGGAAATCTAGGTAGAGTACCTGTGTTTGAGCGTGCGACGAAGTATGAAAAACTGATCGTGTGCGTTTTCGATGTTTGTTTTCAGCTGATTTGTTTTTTGTGTGCGCAAGTATCTGTTGAACTTTTTTGTCACAATTCCTTATCATCGTATTAATTCCAGAGAGCTTTGGAAGCCCTTCGTCACAGTACCCATCTTTACGGTCGCAGACTCGTCCTCGAATGGGCTAAAGGCGAAGACACTGTGGAAGACATTCGGAAGCGAACAGCAGCTCAATTCCACGGAGAAAGCGCAGAGAAAACTTTGAAGAAGAAGAAATTCGGCGAAAGTCTCGAAAGCAAAAGACCCAACAATGCTGGCAGTGATGATGATTCATGACCGAATGAATCCTTTGTTTGTTTTTTCGTTGGGGAACATTGGCGTGTTCTTTTTTTAGTTCGGCAAATGTGAGCTTTTTTTGTTTGGAGTTCGTGATTCAAAAGCGAGGAATAACTTGAATATTGATGTTCAAAGCTACAAAATTTTTCCTGACCCAAGTTGAGTGAAAAATCCGCCCGAATTTTCTTTCCTTTTAAGAAAAAATGCCTTTTAACAATTCGATTTTAGGATTTTTTCTTCAATGGAAATCATTTTCTAACAAGTCATGAATTAAAAGGCTGAAAGGCATGAATGTTTGGGAAATATTTACTCGTCTTTAGCGAAATATACGACCAGTAGAATTACTGTCAGCAATCGGAGGACGAAGGAATAATATTCATAATTGAAGTTTTTTTATGAAGGATTCTTGAAAACAACTATTTTTTGGTCAACTCATCGCGAGCTCTTCAAAGAAACTCACTTGGCCGATATTCATCAATTTTCCGCCTCTTAGACAAATACGTTAATTCGTTGAATTCTTTTTCCAGAACGTCGTTGGTGAATGTTGTCGAGTGTTTCCTGTGACTGAAATAAAATGTTGTGCAGAACATTGACAGTTCTCGCGTGTCGACGGACGATCGCATCAGCGCGTCGTTTCTCGCTCTCCCGACTGACATCTACCGACAACTCTGTGAAACAAGTCGAGGAAGACAACTTTAAACTCGTTTTCCGATTCCCTTACATCCGGGCAGCAAAACTGGTTTGCCGACTCAAATTGTACCAAACCGGAGTGACTGTGATTGCGTTTCCTGCGACGACAGTGATGCAAATGCAGGGACTTTTGGAACCTCACGTGTCTGTGACTCTGGGGTTTGTGAGTGTGTTTGCCCTTGGGATGCTGGGAGTGATGGGGGAAATATTTCGAAAGCTCGTTGGGATTTTGTACGTCAACGAGGCCACGAACGAGGTGAAGATTGCGCATTTGACCTTTTTTGGGAGTCGGAATGATATCGTGGTGCCTATGGAAGACATTGTTCCGATGTCCGACTCTTCGGAAAACGTCAACGACGCGTATGTGAAGGTAAAAAATGTCTGGAGGGAGAGAATTTCAATCAGTGTATGATTGATTTATTTTCGAGGAATTCAACAAATGTTCTAAATTGAAACGGCGTAGGACTGAGTCGAGAAGCAATTATCGTTCAGAAAAAATTATTTGGCTCAAGAAAAGAAATTTAGCCCTGTTTGACATGTTTTGCGGAATACTTTTTTCAAAAGATTAAGACCTTGCAGATTTTTCTGTGTTAGCCCAGAATTCTTGAAATCGACATGACATTAATTCAAAGAGCCTGTCTCCGGGTCTTCCAAGATCATTTCGCCATTTTTTCATCAACAGTCGCCGTTTCGTATGAAAATGTGGCGGTTGTGGGGACAAAAAGAATGATTCGTTCTGGGGGGGGGGGGGGGGGGTTTTTTTTTTNNNNGTGGGGGGGGGGGGGGGGGGGGGGGGGGGGATATTTATGCATAGGGAAATTTAATTGCGGACTTTTTTTTATCCTTCGTTTTAATTGATTTATCCTCCACAGCTGATGCGGTATTCGACGAAAGATCCGTTTTACGTGTGCTTCAAGTACGGAGGAGTGGAAGACAAACGGTTACTGACCCACGCACTCGGATTTTGATATGTGTCTCGAAAAATTATCGTAGCAATTAGTGTATTTATTTTGGCTGTGAACTGTCAGAAAGTGACAATTATGAAAGAGAAAGAATGTGTCACGTCCTGATCTGACCTCCCCCAAACATTTCTTCGTCCACTTTTTGACAGTAGTATTTTACTTGAAAAATTGAGTTAAAAACGGAAAACTGAATTTTCTGAACGGAATTCCAGAAACTGGCTGATTTAGATTATGACATGAAGATCGCTTTGTCGAATCGAAGCAAAATGGTTTCGACTTTGGAGCATAACCTTCTAGAAAACCCTTTCATCAACAATTAGCACCCCCTCATTTGGTAGCGTGACGTAATTTATTATTTTTTTCGAAACGGTCAAAAAAAATATTTTATCGTAGTTTTTTTTTTGGGTACTGTTGGAAGTGCTGAAGATATCCTCTGAAAAAATGGTAGGGGTACAATAAAATGTAATAGCTAATTGACACGAAGTTCGGATTAAATTGTGCTGTAATGTATATTTACGTTACATTTCAACTAACTCAGATCGTTTCTTTCCTTGAATAATTCATCGAGTCCGGGGGAAAAGTACGTTTCGGTGCCTTGTTCAGACTTTGGAGCAAAATTTAACGTTTTCAGTGGTCTAAAATTTTAAGGCAGCGCAGTTTTTCAACTTTTATCTCCCCTTGAAAATCTTCGTTGTTGTGAAAGTTGCTGAATTCGTGGTTGGTCGACTCGGATACGTTGTCGTTTGTATGCAACGTATCAATGGGCTTCGTTCATAATTTCATTTTGTGGACGCAGGTCATGATGATGATGATGGTGATGCGATGAGTTGGGCAGTGTCGATCGTTGGCTCCCAGGAGTGGAAGTGTATTCCCGCGCGGGAAGAAGTGTCGGACGCCGGATCCGACGAGGAAGCGGAAATCATCAAGTACGAAAACAAAGTTGCCGCGTTTTACGAAACCATCGTGTCGAAAAACAAGGGACTCACTCCGATAGGTGAGTCATCCATTACTTTAAAAAGTGCACGTCCGAAGAGAATCCGCGTCTTTCAAAGAGCAATTCCGATATTTCTTTTGAAAATTTTAAACCGATGCGATGATGATCTGTTTCGATGCGGGGTATATGTCGCTTGAAGTCAGGTGTAGATGGTAATGTTTAATTTTGTACGGACGAACCTCGATTTAAAAGTGCGTGTCAAAAGAAGATCCGCTTTTTCCGGGGAGCAATTCCGATATTTCTTTTGGAAATTTTCAACCTATGCGATGATGATCTGTTTTGATGCGGGTAGATGTCGCTGGAAGTCACGTCTCGATTGTAATGTTAAATTTTGTACGGACGAACCTCGATTTGAAAGTGCGTGTCAAAAGAAGATTCGGTTTTTTTAGGGAGCAATTCTGATATTTCTTTTGAAAATTTTCAACCGATGCGATGATGATCTGTTTCGATGCGGGTAGATGTCGCTGGAAGTCAGGTGTTGATGGTAATGATTGATTTTTTAACGGACGAACCTCGATTTAATGTCATAATTTTTGTGGCACTAAATCGAGTTTCATTGATTAAGAAGAAGGTTTATTTGAGGGTTTTTACTGTATCAGGAAACAAACTAATTTTCAGAATTTTTAGGCCACTGACTTTTTTTTTTTTATAAGAGAGAAAGACACGAAAAATAATTTTAAGCTCAAATGCACTGTTCTTAAACATTATTTCGATCTGTTTTAATCAGACGGAATGTTTTAGATTTTTCAACATTATCTTTCTAATAAAAGAGCTATTTCTTGAAGTTTTGTATGAGTTTGAGCTTTATATCAGGTGCCATCATGTAGAAATCAACAATATTTTCAGAAAACTTACCACTTTATTTGTACAATTTCAAATGATTGAAGGTGTCATGCAACACCAAAAATATTCGTCAACTATGTAAATTTAGAAATAAAATGTTAAAAATTGCCGAGGGTTTTTATGTGAGCATGAATTTGTGATTCGTAGGAATAACACAATTATATCCCTAGAAAAAGTCCTCAGTTTCTTTACTTTTGACCCTTCATCATCCAGGACAAGGAATTTTTTGTGGCAGTGAGTGAGTTTTGCACTAAATCGGGGTTTCCCTGGAAAACACGATAGAAAGAAATTTGTTCCAGGTAAATTTGGGGCATTTAATTGAGGGTTCACTGTATGTTGCACTCCACTCGTACCCAGATTTTTTTCTGATTTGAAACAATTTTGAAACGTCTAGACAAAATCACCAGGATGTCGAATATTGAATGCGTTCTATTCCTGACGTTTTTCTTTCTTTTTCTATGTGCGACCTTCTTTCTAGCGATCAGAGCTTGTAGGGAAATCGACCTCGATTTTTTTTTTTTCATTGAGTCGTCAAGCCCCCCCCCCCCCGAATCGAACAATTGAATTGACATCGTGAATGTTTTATGAAAAACAATTGTTTTAAATTTTTCAAACAGGCAAGAAGTTCGTCGAGCGTCCGACGACGAGCGTGGACGACGAGGAGGACGACAACGACGAGACTGAGGACGACGAGGAAGCGGAAGAGGAGGAAGAAGAAGAGGAAGAGGAACTTGACGTTGAAATGCCGTTCGAGCCTCAATCCGCAGGCCTCAACTGAAACCGCATTATAGGTAGAGAATCCTTGGGGTCGTTAAAAACATGAATCACATGGCGACATTGTTTCACTTGACATTTTTGCTAGAAAATTCCTCGGATTCCAGCAAGCTCTCGGTTTAAACTTCGGGAAATTGTCCACAAACGCAGAGAAAATTATAAAAGTAGGGTATAGTTTTGCCTGCTCTCGTTCTTAAAAATTTGTGAAATTCAGAAAGTTCTTAGTAAAACTTGTAAAGCGTCCAGTAACCAATTTTAAATTCACGAATTCACGCTGAAAACGAAGAATAATATGCAGTTATTCAGGTTTACTATACTGTACTGTAATCTTTTGATGAGTTTCTGGAACGACTTTATTAATTTATCATGTAACCTGACGGGGTATCGCGTTTCGAATTGCGAAAATTTTGCACAACGAAACGCATTATGGAACGGATTAGTTTCTTTCACTGTATAAAAATGTGAAAGCATCAACATTTTAAAATTCGCAATAGCATGCGGAAACAAGGCGGCGAAATAAAAATTGAGAGGAGCGGAAAGTTTGGGAAATTCAACGAAGTATTCATTTCCGAATTTTCTTTCCCTTGTGTGCGGGCACTGATCTAAAATTTCAATCAGCGACAAACGATCTGATTCAAATCTTTAGAAAAATTAATGCCCAAGATCCTCACGTGGAGAAAAAGGTAAAATTTTTGTTTCAATGGACGCGGAAAAAATTCAAAACATTTTATTTTCAAAACACTGGAAGAGCATTAGTTCTCCAGAATGTGATTTTGAAAAAATTCCGAGTGCCTAATTTGCTGTGAAATTGTTAATACTCTATGTGATGAATTTTGTTCTGAATCTAGAAACCTCATGTTTGAAAAAACGCAACTTTTTTTAAATAGAAAAATGTAGATTCAACGAAATTTTCAAAATCCACAAATTTTGATTCTCAAGTGACGGAATTCTTTTCGTTTTTTTTCCCCAGCCATGTTCGTCCTCTTCGAGATGATCCACACGGTCAGGATCCAGCCGACCAAGTTTGGCATGCGATTGGATGACGCGGTATTGGCAGAGCTCAACAGCAAATTGGCCAACAAGGTCGTCCTTGACGTGGGCCTTGTGTTGTCGGTGTTGGATATTGCGGACTTGGGGGACTCGTATGTGATTCCTGGTGATGCGGGATCGCATACCAAGACCAAATTCCGCGCCATTGTGTTTCGACCGTATGTGGACGAGGTGGTTGTTGGCAGGATTAAATCCAGCGACCGAGAAGGCATCAATGGTGGGTAATACAGTACCCGAATTTTCAATTGGGTACCTTGTGTTTAGGCACCTGGTTTTTCTGATACGGAAATTTGGATGAAAATGATCCAAGTCGCGCACCGGAATTTTATTGACTGAAAATTGCGATATTTTGAAAATAAAACCCATCAGATTCCAAAATTTGACTTGATACTGTATACCAAAGTTGGGTGTTGATTTCACGTTGTTTCCATTAAAAGAAAAAAAGTTCGTTAAAAATATTCAAAAATTCCCTGTGCATTATTTTAAAAACAAAACGCATCAGAATTAAAAGTTTCATCTTGAATTATACAAAAATTGATTTTTGATCTTACATTGCTTCCATTATTAAAAAATAATTGAAAATTCCATGCTCAATATTTGAAAAATAAAACGCATCTGACTTTGAATTTTTCTTGAATTTTACCAAAATTTAGTGATCTTTTTTTACACTGTGTTATCCAAAAACTATTTTACAAAAGTTGGTGATCAACAATGATCAGTCGTTGAGAACTGCTTTCTAATAATTAATGGAAAAGGGGATCGGAGATTTAATTCGTTTTCCGCGACTTTCGAAGGAATTGCAAAAGTTACTCTGTGAGAGTATTTCAAATGTTTATTTATTTATCTTCACACAGTTGATACAATATTTTATACCAAGAGCAAAGCGACGTAGATTCGGCGTTCAGACAGTGTCTGGTGCGGTAAACTTAACACAACATAAAATGCACCTGTATATATAGCTTCGGCCGGCCAAGGTCAAGGAACGCGCATAGAAACCAATTCGGATCGGGAACATCATGCTTTGTTTGTTTCAAAGGAAGGAAGCGTGAGCGTGGTTGGGAAAGTATTTTGTCAACAACGGGATTGTGAAATATATTTGCTAGCGCACCAGGGGCAGCCAAGCGTAGCGGAAATACACTAGCTTAAAAGGGTTGTGCGTAAAGTGAAAGGTGTTGTGGTTGTTAATATGACTACAACATTAGTTTGTGCAACACCAGAGCACCTTGTCTTCTCATGTCCAGCATTTCAAAGAGATAGACATCAGCTTACAAAAGATTTAAAATTACTGAAATTCAATGAAGAGACACTTTTGGAACTCTTAGAGAAGGGCTTTTCAACCTTTTTCAGGCACATACCCCTTTTCACCTTCAGGAACAGGCGCGTACCCCCAGAGAGTTAATATGTAGGTGTAAATCATATAATAAACCATGCCTTTGAAAATATAATTTAAAATTCTCAATTCATTCAAAGTAAAATGTAATCCCTTAATTTTTTAGTTAATAATCATCTGCTTGAATAAATGTGGTTACTCTTGATGAGAAATTTCAGACATTCTGGATCCAGAAAAAGATTCCTCAGTTCACCTTACACCCCCTTTCAGGTATGTGCTCCTGACCCCCTTAAGCCCTTAATTAAAAACTGTTAAGTTTAAAATTCGCTTATTCCTCGTATTTTTTCGCTTGATCTTGTCATTAAATGTTCCTAAAACACATTCCCATTGTTTTTGGGTGAGTTTTGGTCAAAAATAGGGGTGAAATTCGCATTTTTTTGTTCGCAAGATACCCGTAACGATCGATTTTTACGCGAAACGCGGTCCAAATTGAAAAAACTAAACAGTTCATTCAGTTCTAGGTTGTGTAAAGAAGATTTCCTGCGAGTTTCGTCAGATTTCACCGTTCGGTTTCCGAGATTTCAGCAAAAAGGTGATTTCCCTTAGACTTCTTAACAAAATCGGATCAGATCTGATCCAAGTGCATCTTCCTAAATTTTTCAGTTCACATTCAAAAATGGCGGGTTTCTCGGTCACTGTCTTGTTGCTGATGTTGGTGGTGCATCCTGATGCGTCATCCGGGCGTTGTCAGGTCCAAGATGGCCGCCTTCATTGTTCTGAAGTGTGTGACACGGACGCGGTTCGCGCTGCCGAGTTCAATGGCAGGATAGTTTTGACTGGTCCTGTTTTGGACTTTGGCTGCTTGAGTTTCTTCGGCATCAAGGTACGTTGAGAAATAGGGGTCCTTCAGAGTGTTTTGCTTCAGTTTTTTGATTGCATATTGTCAGGTTGTCGAGTTGCTGAAGCCGACTCAATGTGAAGGGGTTTTCATAGCCTCTGCTGTCGATCCAGAGGATTTGTGCGTCGGGTACGTGTCGGGAGTGATTTCAACGGAAATCACCTCTGGTTTCAACAACATCGATGATTCCGACGGCAACGCTGTCAATTGCTACTACAACGGTGGCACCCATAGCAGCGACATCTCTGCCACCTTCAAGTGCGGCTACCTTGGCGTCGTTGCGTACAGAGGAGTCATCCACAGCGACAGTGACTGCTGTTTTTCCATCAACATCTGCAACAAAAATGGAAACTACGACCATCCCTGGTAAGGGATTACCGACATTTCTAAGAATCGCATAACTGATCTTTTTCCTTTTTTTGTGATTCTATAGTCAGCAAACCATCCATATTAATATCCGTACTGAACAACTTTTCGGATATTCCTGAGACGACTCTCTTCACTGGGGAACGTGCAAACGTTACCCTGACTGTTGTGGAAGGGAAAGCTGTTTTGGGTGCTGAATTTTCTACGGAAGTACTCTCCAAATGGGCTGTTGGATTGATCAGCGGCCTGAGTCTGACGGTTTTCGGACTGGCGTTTGGGTGGCTGGCTCATTGCCTGAGGAAGAAGGTACTTCCTAATCTCTTCTTAATACCTCCTTCCGTTTTTAAAGCATGCTCTTTGCATGTTGTCTTTCTTTTAATTTTGCCAACATCTAACAGTACTGCCCAAAGCCACGTCAAGTTAAAACTAAATCTGAAATTGAAGAAATTGAGATGACTGATTTAACTCCTAAACTGTTTGTGCATGGATCCACCATAAACAAAGTTCAGGATGGTTTTGCAACCATAAGGTCGCGTATACCACTCATGACCACATTTAAACCAAGTAAGACTTAGCTTGTTGATACGTTTGTGGAGTTGCATGACTGCATGGCTTTCTTGGGTGTTTCCTTTTGTCTTTTGTCCTCAGCCCTGGTTGCAGCCATTCCTGAGGCTGGTGGAGGAGGCCAGGAGGGTATTGACGCCGCCGGTGACACCTGTGTCGTCCCCTTTACCACCGCCATCGTTGGCTGAAGTGGTTTCCGATATCCTGTCTCTGGATCTTGCTCCGTCGGCTCTTCCACTTCCTATTCCAGCTGTTGTACCTGCTATGGAAGAAGCTCAAGAC